GAAAACTCTGAGCATCTCAATGTTGGAAAAGATTAAAAGGATTTTTGCGTGGAAACAATAGTGACAGGTAAGAAGAAGATGAAGTTTGGAAAAATAATGAAAGGTTTGTTACTTGTCTATTGATGGAAATGAAGAAAATGATGAAAAGAGGAAAAAAGCTGATGAACAATTCTGGACACTGAATCTACTCGATTCAACATTAAATTTTGTATCCTTTACTTTATTCTGTACTTTAATCTAAACTCTCGGCAGGCGAAGAAGAAAAAGAAAATTATCTTCAAATAACATCTTAATTGATGTTGGATAAGATGAATCACTGCAAGATTCTGTGAGACTTTGATGGATTGTTTATCAAGTGGAGACATTTTCATCCTTCTCATCTTCATCATCTTCACGGCTTCATCTCGCCCAACATTCAAAACTTTTTGTCCATTTTCTCTCTTCTTCTTCTCTGTACATTGACCACTTTCGTCTTATGGATTATTATAGTTGCCATTATTTCCATCCTTTATCCTCATCATCTCTTCGCTCATCTTGCAAGCTAATTCAGCATAAAATAACAAAATAACTTCCAACTGGCTAAACTGCATTTATCACAACTTTTTTTTTCTTCATTGACCTCTACTTCAACATTGGTCACCAAAACTCAACTAACACTTTTCACTGAATAAAAACAAACTCGAAATGGTTCCTTCAACTTTCATCTGAAAATTTGAAAAGCTCATTAATCATGATAAATCTTTTCTCTTCATCAGATGAACATTTCATCGATCAATCCGATCAATGTAAATGCAATAAATGCGAAGTTGTACAAATGAACATCATCTTTCTGCTTAAAAATTCAATGAAAACTTGAGTCGAGCTTTAGTCATTTGGGTGGAAAAGAGAATCTTTTTTTTCGAAAAGAAATTTCAGTTCATTTTCGAAATTTTTTCATTTCGTTTTATTCTTATCAGACAATATCGCATGACTATTCTTGGGTTAATATGATTTGGTTATGAATCTTTTGTTCATTATCGAGTTATTTGCTGTTATTTGATTGTGAAAAAGTCACCTTTTTCAGGCTATTAATAGCAATAACTTTGTCAATTCAATTTTTTCCATTTTCAAGGTTTTCTATTCTCATAAAATATCATGGAATCTCATGAAATTGGCAACTAAGTTGCACTGTTTTAGTGGGAAAGTCGAGGAATAAATTGGACGCAAAATTGAACCTTTTTTTGGGAATTGAAAGAGAAATAAAAAGCAGAACAAGAAAAAAAGAAAAAGAAATGAAATGAAATTAAAAAGGTATAATATTGGATATTTGAAAGGAACCCAAAAGTAAAATGGAAACCACATTTTGATTCATTTCCTTTTCCATTTTACTCCTTCTTCTTTATCACCCTGAAAACTCTGTGTGTGAAGAGCAGTAAAGAAATGCCATTTTATCGCAATTCTCATCATTTCCTTTGTAACTTTCCTCTTCTTCTTATATTGATATATATTTATCAAACTGAAATGAGTTGACAGGTTGAAATGGTTTCCACCTTTTCCAGATTGTTCACTCTTGATGAGAAAAAAAGTTCTCACCTCATGCTTATTCAATCACAAAAAGATGCTCAATTAAAATCTACTCTCAACACCCACAAGAACACTAGAGTCTCGAAAATCGAAACTTCGAAAATTTCATTCTCTGATAAACATGGAAATTTCCCTTCCATATTCATCAATGGAAACTCCGAATTTGAGGGAAAAAATATCTTCGAATATCGCATTTCATCTCGAATTTGAACTTCCAGTTGAGAAGTTTTCCAAAAGAATTTCGAAATTCTGAAAATTTTCTGTTCCAATTGTTGGATATTTAACATTGAATATTGAGCAAAGTATAAAAAGTCAAAGGTTTTGAGTTTAGCCAAAAGTTTTCCGTTTAAATTGAATTTATGAGAGACTCAAATGAAGACTAAAAGATTTCATTGATTGAAGCGAAATGAAATAGAAGAGAAAAGCAAATTTTTATTGAATGAAATTCTGAATGAAATGAAATCATTTCCAGCAAATGATGATGAGACTCAAAGAGATTGCAAAGTAGAGAAAAGGTTGGAAAGGGTAAAAAAGTTGAAGCGTAATTGTTTAACATGAAAACGGTGAAATTGGATTATCTTGAAATTCTGGACATTTTCTGTTTTCTTCCATGAGAATCACATTTTTTTCGGCTTTTCTTTTTATTTGTTTACCTTTTCTTTTCCCATGTTGCACATCAATAACATCAATAATCAGGTAACAAGAAGAAGAGAAGAAGAAGAAGAAGAAAGTGATTGAAATATGAAGCTCATTGTTACCATGTTATCATCGTTTTGTTCCAGCCTCTTGTTGATTTGTTGATTCCATTGAAATTGATATTTCTTGTGAATTCAGATAACCGTTAACGTTGCAAATAATGGCAAAAGATCTGACTTGAATCTTTAATTTTCAACATTCTTTAACTTCTTTTGGCTGTTGCCAGCTTCATTGTTGACCTCAACTCATCATATGATATTAATGGTCAACACTTTGCAACAATTTAATAATGTAACAGTTTGATTTGTTTTGCCCATTTACAATGAGTTTCAGTTTCGTTTTGTGGTTTAACCTTTCCTTGTGTGTTCCCATTCAATTTACATTCAATTTTTCAAAGTCAACATTTCAGGTTCATTGGTATTTTCATGTCATTTCATCGTTTAATGTTCAAGAAAATGTTCATTGAAAAAGTGTGGAAAAATGTTGTTTCCCTTTAATCAAAAGACTAACCTCTTAGACAAGAGTAGATTCAATATGAACATGAAGTCATCAAAATTGAGAAACTTTTTCATTTCACAATTTTTCAATTTCCTGAATAAATTCATTTCACAAGTTCATTTCTACCTCATTTTCATGTCGAGTTGTCATATAATCAAGAAAATTTCATTTTCAGGTTTGTTTGTTCATTCAAATTCAAATGTAAAGTTGAACAGTTGTTTAGATGATGAAATGAATATTCAAATAATCACAATTCAATCTTTAATTTCAACCAAATTTCCTCTTAATGAAGCATTTTTTGACAAAACAAAACTCAACTCAAAGATCAAACTGTTGATCAGAAGATCGATATTTCGATAGATTGAATTGATTAACTTTTAAAACCAAAAAATCAGACAAAATCGGGTGAACATAAAGAAACTTAAAACAGTTTTATACAAAATCGGAGGTCAGAGGCACCAAAGACGAACTGAAAACCTTCGTTAAATTTTACAAACAAATCTTCGTTGGTTCAGTCTAAAAAGACTCATCTCTTGGTGAATATTTTCAGGTTATATTAAAGAAGCGAGAAAAATTACAGAAATTGATTAACCAGAAATTCGGACAATTTATTTCGCTCTGAATGTTTATATCGTTTGACGAAGAAGATTGAAAAAGTACTTTTACTGGTCAACCTCAAGGTGTGAGGTTCAGCAACATTCGTTGGCATTGCATTGGTTATCCTTTGCTTTAAACGCGTTTGATCGAGAATCGACTTTTGCAGGAAAATGTTTTCCCAATCTCTTGTTTCACTTTTTCTGTTCATTGAATGACTGAATTTCACTTTATTTTGGTTCAATCTTTTTCTTCTGGTAACCAAGCCAATGTCTTGGAAATGGATTCTTAGATGATGATGAAAGGAAGAAAAGTGAAGATAAGCAAAATTGGCTTTTAACAAAATGAAAGGAAAACCAATGTTTCTTGAAATGTTATTTCACACTTTAATGGACTAAGGTCATTTTTAAAAGGCTATCAGTCTTACCATTGGTAACCTCCAAACAGTTTTGTTGGATCAATGTTTTTTTCTGCTCTCTTCATCTATTTTTGTTCATCATCGTCACCATCATCCTACTGTGAAGAGACACACAAAACAAGAAGAAGAAGCAAAAAAACGAAACTGCAAATTGGCTGGAAAAAAAAGATGAAGATGAAAGTTATACAAAGTAGTGGAAACGATAAACAAAATCTAATATCAACTTATCAAGATTTACAAACTTCCAAACAATTTATTTTCCTATTGATTTATAAGGCAATTGAGATTAATATACAGTTTTGCTTCTCAAGTTGTAACCATTTTCATTGCAAATTCAACAATTTTTACCTCTAATGGTTCAGTTGAAATTGGTTTACATGAAGAAGAGCAAATTATCACAATTTGACCAAATTTCAATTTCCAATCTTTTTCATTGTTTATTCCCATCTTTGGATAATTTTATTCAATTTTTAGTCTTTAAATATTGACTCTTGTTTCCATGATTTATGCTGTTCCAATGAGGTTCAGTGAGAAATCATTTTGTTATCAGATAAATGGTTAATACTATTAGCTTTAGTTACAGTCAACTCTTCATAACATTAATATTTTCAGTGAAAAAACCCTGAGATTAGTCTTGATCTGTTTCTCATTTACTCTTTAACTTTAATCTTACAGTCAACGAGCAGATTAGTGGTAAATGACAGTTTAATCTGTTAATTATGTTGACAAGCAATTTATCAGTGACATTAAATTACATCTTTTCATATTAATCAAACCTTGATCATTCATCATTTTTCAACTTTACATAGCAAATTTCCAGTCTTTTTATCAATAAATTTCCGACTAAATTCAACTTAATTGTTTGATGAAACCGATTTCAATCAATTAATTGATTCGTCTTGAATGCTTCATTTGTTTTTACTTTCTGGTTCAAAGTAAATGCTTTTCGGGTTTTCGGGTTTTTGGGTTTGCTCAACACTTGCCTTTCAAACGTGTCTCTTATACAGTCACTTGTTTCATTTAATTGTTTACTAAAGTCGATTGTAAATTTGATTAATTACAATATTGACATTGTTAACTATTCATTGAGATAATTTGTTGATTAAATTTTCATCTAAATCTTTAAATGCAATCAAAATGATTACAATCAATGTTTTCATTACCTTATGTAATGTATTTAAAAGTTACATCACTAGATGTCATTAGTTTTGATTTTGTTATCAGCTGATGGTAAACTTGTCAAGATAAACAAAAGAAAGTAAAAAAAGTTAATTCTTTTATTTTTAATTAGTTAATTTTTAGCTTTTGTTAATTGATTGTTGAACCTTTTTATTGTTACATTTGTTCACCAGCCAATTGGTGCAAGTTTAATAATCAAGTGTCTTCACAGCATTGATAGTGAGTAAATGGTTATTTAGACTGGTTCAAGTGTAAAGTTGTTTTAATTTTGGTTCATCTTTTAATTGTGAAATTATGGAGTCAACATTGGACAGTTATTTAAAGCGAATCATCTCTGGTAAATCATTGGCTGAAATTAAAGACATTTGTGATTTTTCCCTCAAAGATCAAGCCATTGAATTGAAAGGTAACCCAAAAACTTGAAACCCAAAAGTATATTAACCTAAAAGCAAGAGTTTGTCAAATTTTTATCATCTGTATATTTAACAGCTTGGACAATCGGCCAAGTTGTCTCCATTTAAACTCATCAATTGAAATGATTTAAAGCAAGACTTGCTAATGAAACTACATTCCGTTAAACGAAGCTGCTTTTTTTAAAGTAACCCATGTTGACTTGATAAAAGATAAGCAGTTTGTTTGAAAAAAAAACAGTCAACTGAAGAGTCAAACAGATGCTAATGTCAACAACATTAGGAATGGTTAGTCAATAGGTTGAGTCTGATTGAACAAGAAAATTATTGTAATAAAATTACAGCAACAACATGAGACTATTTATATTGAACGGCAAAAGGCAAAAGTAAAATTTTTGTCTCTCTCTTGTTTACCAAGTTTACAAGAGATGATAATGATGATGACCACCATTACCACTTTAAATGAGTAGAGTAAATTTACGTCAACTTTGACCAGCAACATTGGCAAACAAGCAAACACACTCACAAATCAATAGAGACAATCTTTCTTGTCCAACATTGCCGTCCACCTTTCTTGACCAGAAATTGATTTACATTGAAATCTCAAACATCTAACGTTTACCCAAAAAAACAAAACCAGAGACACTCAGCGTTTTCCCTAATCAATTAAAGATGAAAGTTGAAAGGAAAAACAAAGTTAAAGGTAAACCCAAAACACAGCTTCAAGTTTATGGGTTTAGTGCGTATTGATAATGATAAGTTATCATTGATAACTTGCGGCCATTTTGACCAACAACTCAATGTCCATACTTGATGTAAACCTCAAAGGGAGTCTCAATCAGGTTCATTAATCTAACCTCATGTAGTCTGTTGTGTTCACATCGTTATCATTTAGATTTTAACATCTTTTCAGTTTTTCCCAAAATTGATTTTTTTCTTCTTCTCTTCCATTCACTTAATCATTGCCACTGATCGTCTCATCAACCTTTTCATCTTTCTCATCCTTCTCATCATCAATTTCAAATCTCTCCAAGTAACAGTGAGTAACAGTGAGTTTGATAAATTATTCAAAATGTATATGAATATTAAATACATTATGTAAAGTGGAAACACTCTAATGACTTTACACACCGGAAGATGAACCAATTTCTTGCATTAAAAGATGAATGATGAGAAGAGAGTTTCAATGTTTCATTGGAAACTTCATTGAAAACCTTTTCTCTCCTCAAACAAAAGAGGGAAACAAGTTGATCAGTTTCATCTCAATATCAACTCATTTACCAATCCTTTGTTCATCTTCCTCTGCTTCTCATCATCATTACCAGATAAAACTAATTTACACATTTTTTCTTCTTCTTTTTACATTCATTTTTGATTCGACAACCCATTAGCATCCCTTGAAAAGCCTTTTCAACCCTTTCTTTGTAATACAATTAAATCAATTTCCAGCTTTCATCTAATTTCATTTCAACAATTAAATTGTTTTCTCTCATTATCTCATCGTTAACTGTTAACCATTTACTTGAGTAGACATTTTTTACTTGTTGATCTTGTCAACTTTTTTTCATCTCATCATCTTTACGCTTCATCTCATCCTCATATCACTTATCTTTCACCATGACAACTACATCACTCAATGAAGCTGTAAAATCATGTTTCAACTAATGAAACAAACAAGAGGCAAAAAACGATTGCTAAGTGATCCTTACTGAGGTGAAGATTAGCACAAAAACAATCCTTCAAAAAGGCAATTCAATTGTAGTCTCATCAGAATCATTATCAATTTCAGTTAAACTTTCAAGTTGAAATTTGTTTCATTTGACGAATCAATTCAAGAGAAAAATGAAAATTTGCTTTTGTCGAAATGAAACTTTACCTGTCAATGTTTGCAATCAACTGTCCAAGTTGTTGAATATTTTTCTCGACTTTTTTACTTTTCGCCAGGAAAACTGAGCAAAATAAGATTATACTTTTCACTAAACACAGATGATGAAATTCATGGCAACTCATTTGGTAGGCAAATTCAGGGTAAACAGGAATTGTAATGTAAATAAGTGTGCGAGACTGTAAAGTTGAACATGAATGAAACGAAATGGAAATTGAATCAATTTGAATATTTCTCTTTCGATGGATTTTTTCGTTGAATAATGTTTCAGTTTTTCGTTTGTTTATTTTGTCCACAGCAACCAAAGGGATTGCCAGTCAAACATGTAAATTTACACCAATTTGTAAGCAAAATATATTTTACATTGTAACTGCCGTTATATTCAATGAGAAAGATGAACTTTTAATGATGCAAGAAGCTAAAAGTGAATGTGCTGGAACTTGGTATTTACCGGCGGGTCGAGTTGAACCAGGGGAAAATTTGGTTGATGCGGTTAGACGGGAGGTGAATGAAGAGACTGGCCTTAAATTTGAACCTTCAACTCTTATTCTGGTTGAAAATGCTAAAGGTAATTGGTATCGGTTTGTTTTCACTGGAACCATTGTTGGTGGTTTATTGAAGACTGTTTCACTTGCTGACTCGGAGTCACTTCAAGCTTCTTGGATTAGTGATATCAATCAATTATCTTTACGTTGTCGTGATATATTGCCCATCATTGATCGAGCTCGAACCTACTGGAGAGAGAAACACTTTTGGCATCGATCAATCTTACCTGTTATCCAATCTCATGATAAAATATTGCTTCGTCTCATCATGGTAATCAAAAAGAAAGCAAAGTGAGTACAAAATTAAACTTTTAATTTGCCAAAAACAAAGCATCAAAACATTAACATCACTTCAATTTTGCTCTTGAATTTTGTTGAAACACAATCTAAAGCTATGAAAAATTTTCATCGAAACCAAATCAACTTTTCTCATGAAAAAATGACCTTACTATTGACGACTAAATCTATTCAAGTCTTTGTTACAATAACAATGCAAAACAATCCAATGAAGAAGCTATTGATCAATCAAATCAAATCACATTGACAGTCATATCTATTGACCTTAAACTAACTAGCATTTCTTCAGGTCAATCAATAACTGTCCCAACCTGAGACCAATCGAGACCTTTTAGAGTGACTTAAAATCTAAAGTCTATGCAAATGGTTTCGTGGCTTAGGACACTGAAATTTTACAAAAAAAGCAAATTAAAAATTTCGATTCTCAATATCAAGGAAAACCTAAAATTCAAAATTAATGATTTTCCCGAATCCCGAAAATAGGTTACCATCAAAGATATTCAATCTAATGTTTCTTGAATCATATTCAATCGACTGAATTGACACCAATTATCAAAATTTTGTCTCAAAAGTTAGTCTTGAGTTATCCAAGAATCTTGAGGTTATGAGTTCATCGACTTCGATTCACGGTTTCATTGTTGATCATCTGAAATGTTTATTTATCAACTTCTCTCATCAAATCGCAATCTTATGTTAACTTTGATTGCTTTGCATCCAACTATGTTAATTAGTTTCTTGTTACAATAATAATGCAAAATAACCCGATGATGGCAACTTTTAGTCAAATGTCGACTTGACAAGTTAAACTCTGTGCCAAGTTTTTTCAAACTAAACAAACGTTCAAGTTGTTTACTTACAAAGTGTGCCGCTTTTGTTGTTTCAATGAATTGGATGATTTTGAGTGAATCGTAATTTTCGCAGAAACGAAAACGTTTCTTAATATTGCTTCCAAATGATAAAGCCAAAACTCACCTTTTCTTTTGCTATTCATCATTATTATCTTTCTCTTCATCTTATTGCTCTTCCCTTTGAATAATCATAATAATAACTTTACGTCTATTATATGTTATTTATACGAGTGTTAAAATCTCTAGTGATTTATCTTGAAGTAAAGATAAACTTTCAACTGTTGCAAACAAAAAGGTTTTCCATCATTTTACACTCCCAGTCAATCAACCCGTTAAAATTTCCCAAAGGTATTTCATTTAATCTGGAAAATCTTTATCATTATTTTGTTTCTCTGTTCATCAAACTCAAGAGACACTTTTTTTTGTGTTCCTTGTTTACTTTGGATTCTCCCTTTTTCCCCATAATCTTACCATTTTTCAATTCAATTGATTATCATTATAAACACATAATCAAATGAAGCAACCCAATTCATCTCGGTTTATCTGTTATTAGATATGCAATATGAGATGAAAGTGATTCCATTCAGAAGGTCAATCAATCAACGGATTGTATTGGTTGTTGCTTTTGTTGTCGCTCTCTATTATCATGATTATCATAGTTAATCTGATATAATACTTGACGAATTATCTACAAAGAAAAAAAAGAGAGAGAAAGAAGATCAATTTTCTTCTCTTATCCTCATCTTCATCTGAATGTAAAGTTGCACTCCAACGAAGAGAGAAACACAAATTCAGTGAAAATTGGTGAAACTAAAAAAAGTCTGCAACATTGATCCTCATCACTCACCAACCAACAACAAGTCTAAGTTTAACCAAGAAGAGCAAAAATAAACCAACAAGGAAAAGTTAGTAAAAAAGTAAACATTCAACATAAATCCATATTGAGCTTATCTCAACTTTACCTGAAAAAAAAGTCTTGACTCTAAACGGACATTAATATTGATATTAATAATTTGTTACAAAGGATAACCAAAAGGTTTGACCGAAAGCTTTATTCAAAAGATTCGCAAAGCTTCAACTTTGAAAGTAAAAAATACTCATTTGACTCTCAATACAAGTTTTAGTCCATTTCCTTTGACTCAAGTCCGTCTCCCAAATGACCCCATAAAAGGTCTCTTTAAAAGCGAAAAAAAAAATAAATTCTTTGCAAAGTTACACAAAAATGATGAACACGAAGAGATGAAAGATCAAGAGTATAAGAAGAAGGGAAAAAGGTAGAGAAATGTTGCTTGAGAAAATAACCTTTTCTCTATTGGTTGTAGGCCACCCAGAACTGAACATTTACTCGGCCTTTGATTTTCTTTTCTCAACTCCCCCTCTTCGTCCTCCTCCCAGTCAATTGAATGAAATATTGGCCACAAACAGTTTTGACCTCCTGATGTGCCTCATAATTTCAAAGTAATTTTTAACCTCTTATTTGCTTCTTACATAGTCACAAGAGGAATGCCGATTCCTTTACAGATCAATTGGGTCAGAAAAGCAGAGGAAAGGTGCAATTGTTATGGTCACTCACCACACCAATGCCTATTCCCTTGATGCACATCAACCTTGTGATAAACTTTTCTTCTTCTTTTCCTCCTTTTCTTTTCTTTTTCACTCTTTACCCAAAGATAAATCATTTGACCATAACTTTTCTCTCTGTTTTCCCTCTGTTGACCAATTTCCAGTAGCCATATTTACCTTGTTCATTCATATCTTTCTTCTTCTTCCTTGACCAATCTTTTAACCATTCAAACCCTTTTATCACTATCTTGCTCTTTCTTTTCATCCCTTTCCTTATCAAAATCAAGATTAACCTTTGTCGTCTTCATTTCATGCTTAAACTCATCACCATTAAGTAAAATATCAAATCTTTAAACTCTATTCATCTTTACATTTTATCCTCATTATTGTATTAATTGGTTCAAAATTGTAATGACAATTGACTTTTTAATCGACATTTCCTTTTATTCCTTTCAATATTTTTCCATTTTTAATATTTTCTTTCATTTCTTGAACATTTGACTGACCTTTGAAAATACCTTTTCGATCCCTTCAATTAAAGGTTTAAAATTAAAGCGTCTACAATCAACAGACTCTATCATTTTAATTGTTGTTTGGTTTCTGGTGTTTTGGTCTTGCAACCTTTATTATCCAAAAGGTATAATTTTCATTTCAAGAAAATGTGTTTATTATTGACAATTTACTTTGATTACTGGGATTAGTCTTTAAACTTGTTGATTGCCATTTGAATCAATGAAAATTGTAACCTTAAAAATCAAATTTGTTTCGATTGTTGGTAAAATTGCAATTTTCATCAATCACTTTTATCGATGATTACATTAATGAAGTAACAATCATTTACTGATTTGTTGGGTTAAACAATACATAAACATGTAATTTTGGTTATCCATCAATAACGTTCAAATTGTACATTTTATTTTGTCTTTGCTTGTTCAAGTTCAATTTTATTCTTGATTCAATCATCTAATCATTGATATTAAAATGAGGCTCAAAATTCAATTAATGAATGAGTTTTGTTTTAAATTTAAATTTTGGTGCAATTTCAATATCGTTCTGCCATCTATTGGTGAAAGGTTTAGTTGTTGAAAGTTTACGGTAATGAGGGTAAAGGTTAATGGATAATCTCATTATTTGGTTAAATTATGAGTTTCAATGGGTTTCTATTAATCTTTTAGCAGTTTTTTCGGTTCAAGTGTTGGCTGGTTAAATAATTTATTATGTCGTTTGTGGTTAACCAGATTAATTTACAATTAGTTTGCCAGTTTCCGCCATTTTACGCCCTTCTTTACCTTCTTTCCCTCCAAAACTCTATTTTATTGATATTTCAATGGTTTTATTTTATTTCTGGGCCTCTCAACTCTTTTTATAATCATCATGGTAACTATTATTTCTTCAATTGAATCAACATAGTGAATCTTTTCGATAATTACAATGGCTGGTTAAACGTTGAACTCATTTTGTGTCCTTCATTTATTCAAGAAATGGCCAATCCTTGTTGGAACTTATTTTCTCACTGTCTTGGTCCCTGGGTTACATCCTAATTTAACTAGCCACCAACCAACACCAATTAAGTCAACACTGATGAAACAACACAGTGAAACCATTTTGGGATACCATTTGCACTTTACCTTTATTTTTACTTCTCCAAAAGGTTTTATTGTCACTGGCGTTTTTGTGTTATCTGTTTAAACAAGCTCAAAGATTGATGACCATTGCTAATTTATCCTTAAATTGGTCACTGACTCTTTACCTCTTTATTTCTTTATCCTTCATCTACTGACCAGAAGGAAAAAAGTTGAGAAAACAAAAAAAAAGAAGGAGATGGAAAAAAGGAAACCTGAATCAAATGGTCTTAACTTCGTACCGCTCTGCATGGTGTCTTCTGCTTCTTCTGCTTTCTTCCTCATCATTTCTGGTCTTCTTTCCTGTGGTCCTTTTACCTTACATTTTATCTTACTTTTTTTTCCAGAGTATCCAGGGAAGAAAGTAAACTATGTTGATCAGGATGACATTGACACTAAGGAATCATTAATTTAACCCGTCAAGATGATGTATTGTTTCTAGCAGATGAATGTGAATCCCATAGAGAACCAGAAAAGGCTTGCTTAATTTTCAATTGACTTGATTAGTCTTGTTAATTTACATTTCATCTTTGTCAACAAGAAAAGGTAATATAACCATTTCTGGTTAGAAATAATTGCTTTTAATTATATTGTGTTAACTCTACCTTTAACCAATATAAGGCTCTATTTAGCAATTTGCAACAAAAAATCCTTTTCCACGCTTTTTTTGTGCTCATTTGCTCTTTGAGTTTACATTGAAGCTCTACATTGACACTGTTATACTTATGACATTACCATGAAGAATCTCTGCTCAAATATGAATTCATCAAGATTTAGTTGACATTAAATCTAATCTTTTCATAATTTTTTTTTCTTCCTCAGTTACTTCATGATAAGAGGATTAAACATTATGTTTTTATCAGAATGGCCGATCAAATAACCAAATCAGATATTCAATGTTCAATCTCACCGTAAATATGTTTCAATACACTTGAAATGAGCACGACAAAAAAGGGAAAAAATGGAATCCAAAATTAATAATTTTAAAAAAGGCAAACGACATGTTTTATTAATTGTCACTGTGACATTAAAACATTGATTGATACTCTCATAATCAGCGATAAAGTCCACCATTTAATTCGCTACAATTTTGAAACCTCTTAAAATTGAACATCATTAAGCAACTAGTAATGATTGTTTGTCTCTACAAAATTACATTTAACTAATCTTTGCCATTAATTATCCTTGTATTACCATTGTTACTACCATGTTAATGATTCCTAATCATTTTCACAGCAACAATTTAACTCGATAAGTTTACATTTTAAGCTTTCCCTAGCTTTTACACAGAAAATGTAATCTTAGATTCTCAAATGTCTCAACAATTTAAATACATTAAGCCTTAAATAATGGACGCCATTTAGCTGAACCTTTCAACCGGCAGTTAAAATTATCAAATGTAACTCAAAAGCTTATTGAATTACAATGAAAATGTTTGCCAACAAAAAGCATTTGATGCTCAATTCCCAAAGTCAACTGTTTCACAATTAAAACCCAAATGTGCAAAGCCAAACCAGGAGAAGGGTTACAACCATCAGCTGTACCATTGGACCGGTTTCCTTGTAATTCAATGAAACATTTACGCCAGAAAATGGAATCTCAATTTTACGCTTTTCAAATTATTCAATGTTTCACCTTTAAAGGCTGTTAATAACCTGTTAACTAATTTACATCTCATCATAAATTGTAATTACACATGGGCAGTGTTACACTTGATTAACTAAACTAAATGCTTGTGGCCAAAAGGTGTGCAAAGGAGAGTAAAAATGAACAACAATAATGGCAAGGTGAACAATCAAAAAAGGAAGCAAACGAGGAAACCAGCAAAAAAGCAAAGGGTTAACCATATTAATCCATTGGAATGGTTTAATAGTGCAATAAAAGGACCAAATTAAATGCATTTTTGATAATCTCATGACAAAAGGATAAGCCAGTTAACAAGTCAATGGTACTTTTGCGAGGTGAAAAAAGGTGATTAATAGTGGAGAGACATTTGGCTGACCAGTTGGGTGAGAGTTGGGTGAAGATGAGGGTAATGATGAAGGAGATGCTGATGGGCATTTGAAGGGTAAAGTAAAGGTTAAAGTGGGTATTTACAATTGGCTTGATTTTGTAAATGAAAATGTAAATAAGCTAATCTGGAAATAATGAAAACTGGAAAGAATATGAAAAAGAGAAGAAGAGAAAATGTTTTCCATCATTTGCATCACAATATTATTGTTATAATTTATCAAGCTTATGATGTGGATAACATTCAACTTGGTTACCTTTTTTCATCATCTTTTCATCACTCTCTTCAAAGATTATTGAACAAACAAGAATACATTTTGTCCAAACAAACAATATAATATTTGTGTTTGCTCATTGAAAGTCCTTGCCATTGCCTTGTAACCTTTTTTTTTCATTTCACATACATTTGATTCTTTGATTCAAATTTAAAGGTTTCCTTTTCAACATGATTTTCATTATTATTTTCATCATTACTATTGTCATTATCATAGTTAATATTGTTACAATATCAGGGCGAGTTGGATAAGCAGAAGAGTGAAAACAAAGCAGAAAAGCACTGAACCCTAGGAAGTCATCGACGGGGATTCTGACCATCAACGTGGGCTTTGGTCAAATCTTTTCACATTTTCATCATTTCTGTTGAACATCTTTACATTAAATTGGTTTACAATCAAACCTGACAGGGGTCTTGAGTCCAGTTTTGTAACTGCGAGTAAAGTACAAGATTAAAGATGAAAAATAATTAAAGAATCTTGGAAATGAGGAAAAGTTGAGGAAAAAAATTGAATGTCGCTCGTTGTTTCATGGCATTAATGTTTCATCCTGATCATCATCTTGAACAGCAATCTAATGTTGATCTTGTTTCTTCAATGACTCTCATTGAGACTGACAACCATTAGAAGATGCCTTTTTCATTAACTTGGATTGTTAACAATCTTTGAACAACATTTACTTCTTTAACCAATTTATCAATTTTTATTTACATCTTTCCTCCAACATTAACATTTTTCTTGTCCCATCTTCATCTTTCCTCAATCATCATCATTACCATCATTCATGATGATTACCTTTCCGCCAGATTTTTCGTTTTCTTTGGCGTTTCTCCATTTCTCTTCTTTTTTCAATTTTCCATCTCTTCCCTTATCCTCATCATTATCACATCATCATTTTGTGTCTCTTTATATAACCATGTAATACATGTGATAACTTTCACATACTTGTATGTCTAATAAGCTTCTCAGAGGGTTTAAGTTAAGCTTCAACTGATTTCAGAAACCATTTTTGTTCATCTTCTTTTCCATTCTGACAATGAAATTGAAATTGAAATGAAAATGGATATTTTCATATTATTTTATGAATATATTATCACGTAACAACTGAATAAATCTCTTGTTGATCCTTAAATAATAAATTGGCGAAAAGTGAATCTAAAATTTTGATATTCAAAGGAAAAATATACTTTATATATTTACTTTTCTCCTTTTTTTTCTTCTTCTTCTTCAATCTTTTCTTTTAACACCAAAAAAAGATGAATTTACATGACGATGAATCTCATGTCAATCTTATCGTTCAAACAAAATTGGCAAAATTTTGGATATTTGTTCCAATCTTGAACTTTCCATTATTAAAAAGTTCAATGTCAATCATGCAAAGTTTCACTCAATCTTTTACTTGCACTTTGAAAACAATTTTCATAATCATCTGATCATGGAGTTATTGGGTTCAATAAAATGTTTCACCATTTAATCCCATCATTGTTATCAAGTTTACCTTAAAAAGCTAATCCAATTGAAACCTTTGTCCAAACCAGTCGTGTCTTTGTATTGTAAACATTAATCTCATTTTGTAAATATCTCTTCAATTCATTGCCAACTCAAATGCTATCGAGTTTTTATAAAAATCCGATCAAATTTAATTATCAAATGAATTTTCATGAAATGTTATTTCTGTCTTTATTACATTTTCAACTATTGGACCAAACAGTTGAAAACGTTTCTGAACTTAAAGCTTGAATTGGATTTTCAAAGCAAATTCAATGATTTCTCGATGATTGCGATTTGAAATTTTGTTGTTCGCAACTTTAATTTTAGCTTTTCAAGACTCACAAGTTTGTCCATTTCTGCTTCAAATGTCTAGAAAATGTTTTTTTTCAAATTAGCTTAAGTTTAAATTTACATAAGCGAACAATTGCCAAGAAATTAAAATAAAGAAAAGGAATTGAAATTTTCTCCATTCGTAAATTTGTCTCGGATAATATTCTTGAATTCAGTTGAAAGCAGGCAAACTTACAAATTAACTCAAGTAAACTCGCAAAGTCGACTTGAGCCGGATGAAAAAACTTTTGTGTTACTCTTTTGGTCTTTGATTAGTTTAGATTTGTTTAGTTTTGTGATTAAAATCAAAATTTTTGACGAATTGAAGTTCAAAATTCGATTTTCTTGAAAAATTTTCGACTTTTTGTGGGAAATGAAGACTTCCAATGGATCGCTCCTTATTTCTTGAAATGCCGAGAAAATCAATAAATTTGTTGGTAGAATCAAAATGAATTTTTCTTAATTTTCTCGAGTTTCTACTTTTTAAAATGTAACATTATCTCACAATTTAATTAGAATAATTTGATTAGTTGAATTTCGCTAATTGCCAACAAACTCAACTCTTCAACATTCATTTTTCACTGACTAATTTTACAGAATTCAATCTGGAAATTAGCTTATTTTGTTTTGACTGTTCAACTTCAGAAGAATCCGAGTTTATCTGACTAATGGTTTGATAACTTTATTCAAATTGTTTGGCTATTATTCAAAGTCAATCATTTTCTTGTCACAATAATGATGCTCAATAAGCTCGACTGACCTTTCTTGACTGATATCAATGGTTAACCCGTTAATTTCACTTTTAAATGTTTCCATTGAACCATTTTCCTTGTCAGTGACATTTGATTGATTTCATGGTACAATTAATTGGTACCATTAATATTATGCATAAAAAGAGAGGTTTAATTATTCATCTTGAAATGCTGAACCAATGATTTACACTTTGATTTATATTTGCTGTTGAATCATTTTACTTTATAATTTAATTTGGAATAAAAAAGCCCACATAAAGTTTAATGGTTAATAAGTTAATACAAATTAACTTGTGGTTAGAATCACTTCCCATTGAGATTTTTGTTTTTTTTTGTTTGTTCCTTAATTTTGTCTTGATTCTGTTTGCGCTGAACAAAAAATGAACTCAATATTAACATTAGTTTACAGAATTTTTCAGGCTTTTGCTTTTTTTCGAAGGAAAACATCTCCTGACAATTAAACATCATTTAGATTATTATTTATGTTTAAGTCTTGTAATGATAACTGGTTATGTGTTGATGTGATGTTATTACCTTATCAAGTAAAGCTAAATAGAGTCAAAATTGCTTTGCTCAATTCATTTCTTGCTTTTTTCCATGAAAAAATAATGTAATTTTCAACTCAAGTGTGTGAGTGTTTATTAATTTCAACTTGTGTTTCATTTCAGTTGAAATTAACCTCAACTTTAATGTTTTTTATGCTTTTAACCTCCCATAGGTTTTGTTTTTACTTTTGACTTGTTCACCAGTTTTCCATGCAACCTTTCATATTTTGCTCCATCTCAGGTTGTTGTTGTTGTTTAAACCCACTCACAGTCGGAAAATGTCAAATTAAATTGTGCCCAAACTGTTCAGTTAATTATTAGATTAACTTTGCCCATTGATTGCAGTTATTATTATTACCTCATTCACACTCTTACTGTTTATTGTAATGATTGCCTGACAATCATCATAATAATCTGCATGTTCATTGGGTTTACAGTAAAGACTGGTTACTGGTTCTTGAATTAATTAATTTACTTGGAAAAGATTTGCTTCAATCTCTTTTTTCCTCATTAAATTAATTAATTACCCAACATTAAATTGAATCAATCTTGATTGTTTGCTTATCCAGCTACTTGTATCGTTATTATTGATGGTGGCTCCATTATTTGTAGGCCTTGCTTTTCACATATGTCTATGAGTGTTGTCTCGCTGTCTCTGTGTTACCAGGTTGTATCCAACTTGTATCCAACTAATTACTGTTTAATTGATTTATTAGATTATCTTTGGAGTAGATAATGGTTGAGGTATAATTGTAAATCTATCATTTGCCATTAGTTCGGGTGTCTCTTCTTTACATCCTCTAATTGTGTTAATAAAATCCAATTTTGAAACAAGCAAAGTTTATCCACATAAATCAGGAGAGCTTTACTCTGGATCAGATGAGGTTTTATTTTCCTTTGTTTTTACTTCTTGTCGAGAGATTGTATCATCTTTATAGCCATTATTATATCACTGTTTCATGATAAATTAGTTGATGGTTGTGAGTTAAGGAAAAATGAATCCCTGAAAGATAAAACAAAAAGTAGAGTCAATTCGAGACAATTTAGGTATTATCTAGATTAATAACAATGGATAGAAATGAAATTTTGAGACTAGAAAGACTTTGATTTTACTTTTCATCCAAACCTTTATCGTTTTGATTGTCCACTCAAAATTGGTTCCGTTGGTACGCCATTAGTTTAAGAATGACCAAATAAATTGTCATCCAAATAGAGATGGTTTCAAGTCTGGCAATACATTATAGTTACTTCTGATGGCTTCAATTTTTTGTATTTATCCACAAAATCTCCTTTTAGACATCAATTGGTCAAGTTTGGAAGCAATTTTGTTGAAGTCACTAATAGATAACACTTTTGTCGTTTCATTTCTTTTGAATAACAACAATTAAAACGTGAAAAAATGTAATAATCATTAGGATTTACACAATATAACAATCTAATGTTTATAGCTTTATGAAGCTCTTAACGCCATCTAGATATTTTTTGATTAACTACAAATTTTTTCAAGAAAATCTCTATTTCCAAAACAATAAAATTCATAGCAAAAGTAAACTGACATTTATTCAATTTATTGGCTTTGATTAACTCTTTTCTTTAATTTTTTGCTGTTTTTTTATTTTTTCTAGTAATCGGCTTCATGTTTTATCCTCTGAAAAAGATGGTTGCCATCTTCCAGTCTGTGAAATCAATCCAATCCGAAGTGTTCATGCTACTCTAAAAAGATTTGTTCAGGTAATGTAAACTTAAAATGTTTGTGTTTTTAGTATTTTGACAATTTGGTTAAATCGTGTTTTTTTTCTTATTTAAAGTATATTTTTAATAATCAAGCTCCTCAACACCGTCCTCATGGAGTATTGTCTATTGAACACAGTGGATTTCCTTTGACTGAAAAGGATGGACTTTGCTTAACTTTATTGGTTTCATGTGTTGTGAGTTATCTTTGCTTTGAAGGTTTAAACATCATTAGTGTTTATAAATGACAGAAATAATGATTTTTCGTGTAAATTTATTAGGTTCCAATGGAGCAATCGTCACCTCGAGATAGCTACTCATGGCAAGAGGTTAACATGGAGATTGAGACACAGCTATTGGATCATTTAACGAAAAATCGAAGCCTTGCGTTCCATATCGTTTAACCTGTTTTCATCTGATAATTAAACGTTTTCCATTATGCTCATCATTTAAAATACGTGCAATGATCAAGAATATTCAATTTAATTTTATCAATTACAATCGTTCAGGATGAACTTCCCACGCTTACTTAAAATGTGATTTACAATAGACTTGAAAATCTATTAGCGATCATAACTAATGAATCTCTTTTGGATAATCAATATCTCATTTAAATAATGATCTGGAAATAAATTATGTAATCTTTACTCGCAACTTCCAATAAAAACCATTCCAAGAGCTGAATTGTTTCATTTATTAATGTCATTCATAATATCAATAAAAGATCAGCCAATAATTCAATTTCCAAGATTGTTCTTACGATTACTGTAGTTCAATCTAAATTAAACTAAATTTCATTTCTACACTAGATGAAGTGTATTTAAAACTACTGTTAAGCAAATTACAAATTTCTGGTCTTTGAGCGTTCAGTGGACTTGAAAGGTCAAAAATTTCACAAAACTTGATTTTCCGTAGCTTCCATCAATACACATCACCACGTCCTTTAGCCATAGATTTTAATTCAATAGCTAAACGGATTTAGCGCCGATTTTTTGTAGCGCCGGCTTAGCCGGCTAAGCATCCGCCAACGAATATTTTTACTCTTATCCGCCATTCGTCAATGAATTGGCTGGCTGCGGTTTCTATTTCAAATCAAAATGTTTACCGGCTGATTCAGTTAACAGTTAGCTAACGCCATCTGTATTGTATGTTTTTACTCTACTACCGCATTTTGGTAAACAACTTTGAAAATAAACATTGTTTATTGAATATGAATTTGTGTCGATAAAATGAATAAATTTAGTTACCAGCTTTGTAAATCTCTGCATTCTTTAACAAGATCACCTGTACATTTGTCATTTCGTTATAATTGGGGACTAAGTGAGGTTAACCGTTTCACTTTGCGGCAACACAATTGTGGTGACTTGAAGGAATCAGATATTGGTAAAAAAGTTACTCTTCATGGTTGGATCAAACATATTAGAACTCATGGTTCAGCTGTTTTCCTTGTTGTCAATGATGCCTATGGTGATACACAGCTAATTTTCAAGCAAAGTCATGCTCCTATCTCAAAGTTACCAATTGGATCAGTCATTAAAGCTGAAGGAACAGTTACAAAGCGTCCCAAAGGACAAGAAAATAACAAAATGAAAACAGGAGCCATTGAGGTTTTGGTTGACCAATTTGAAGTAATCAACAAAAGAACCTTTCCAGCTTTGATAACCAAAGAATCAGATAGATTGAAGTATCGTTATATTGACCTAAGAAACAAAGCAATCAGTTCAAATCTTCGTTTGAAAAGTCAAATAATGAACAACGTTAGAAATTTTTTCCATCAAGAAGGATTTATTGAAGTTGAAACACCATTGCTTCAAAAACATACACCTGGAGTAAGTATATTCACAATCTGGTTAAGTTTATACCGTTTATTAATCTATTGATTTACTTATGCTTTTCCTTTATCTTTCTTAGGGTGCTCATGAGTTTATTGTGCCAACACATGATCATAACAAATTTTATTGCTTAGCCCAAAGTCCCCAAATTTTTAAACAACTTTTGATGATTGGCGGTTTAGATAGGTATTTTCAAATTGCTAAGTGCATGAGAGATGAAGTTTCAAGACCAGATCGTCAACCAGAATTTTCACAGGTATGAGTCAAGAAATTTGAACATTTTGACTTTACTATTGGTTGCTCACATCCCGATAATATTGCTTTTATTTACTGTTTTCGTTGGTTTAAACAGATAGATCTTGAAATGTCTTTTACAAATACTGATGGAATCATAGATCTTATTGAAGCATTACTTGTTGCCATTTGGCCTTCTTTTGCAGGCTCAATAACAATACCATTTCCAAGAATATCGTACGATCAGGCCTTACAAAAATATGGATCGGATAAACCCGATTTAAGAAGTGACATTGAGGTGAGTGAATATTTCCCATCATATTCTACTATCAACTTATCTTGTTCATTTTTCTTCTCATAGTTACATGATCTCACAACTCCTTTGGAAGACATTATCAAAAGACCCGCGATTGGACTTGCCATTCCCAATGGAGTTGATGTAAGTTATAATAAATTCCTATGTTTTCACTTACTAATGACAAGTATCTCGTCTTTTCTTCAGGAAAACCTAGAGTCAAAGCTTTATCAGCTAAGTTTGAGCGTGGCTGAAGATTTATCATTCGAAGGTAAAGTGATCGGACTTAAAATAAATGACCCTGATTGCTGGACGTTGGACAGAGAAGACAATGTCAAAATTGATGAGCCAATAAAATTCTGTATCACGCAAAAAATGAAATTATATAAAGGAGATTACCTTTTCGTAGCTTATGGGGATAGCGCTGAAATTGTAAGATTATTTTTTAACTACAATTATATTTTAGATTTGTAGCTATCAACTATATTAAACTTTCTAATCTATCTTTTTCCCTATTCAGAGACGGTTCATGGGTAAATTCAGAAATCTTAGTATTAAGTGCATTGCAGAAAATAACATCTCCAATTGTCTTGATAACTCTTTTGTTTGGATCGTTGATTTCCCACTTTTCACCAAAAACGAGCTCGATGGCACCATTGAAAGTTCACATCACCCTTTTTCCGCGCCCAAAGCTAATCAACTTGAAAAGCTCTATTCAAACCCATTACAAGTGGTTGGTGACCAATTTGACCTCGTGCTTAACGGAGAAGAGGTTGGCGGTGGATCCATGCGAATTCATGATGCCAATGTTCAAGAGTATATTTTAAAAGACATTTTAAAAGTGGATTACTCTTCGCTACAATTCTTCCTCGATGCTCTACGATCAGGAGCTCCTCCTCATGGTGGCATCGCATTAGGCCTGGATCGTTTGATACGTATAATGTGCAATGCTTCGTCAATTCGGGAAGTTATCGCTTTTCCAAAATCATTTACTGGTAAAGATCCTTTAAGTGGTGGCCCAACAGAGTTATCACCTTCGATTCTCAAGTCATATAATATCAAGCCAACTTAGGAGCACATAATGTTGTCATTAGTTATTAACAACAGTTTTTTGAAACCGACTTGTGACTTTAGATCTCTGCAAAATATTACCGATTTTTCCAGTGATGTAACCTGCCATTTATTCATAATCTATCATTGGTTGATGGCTCTCTGTTGACTGTGGTAATTACGGTCTTGCCAAATCAAAGGAACTAATTTAGAAAAGATTAAACAAAACTATGATCCTAAATCAAGTTATTAGTAATAACTTATTACACAATGAATGAATTTATCGCGATTCTATTGTCACAATGGTGAAAAATGTACGCATTTAAAAACAAAAAATGAGTCAACGTAGTCAACAATTAATCTCTTTGGTGAAAGATTTTTCATGAGACATAATTCTAAGTTGAAAAATGATGACTAAAACTGCAAATCTGATCTACTCTGTCATGATTAAATCAATGTCGTTTCTATTTCTATTTCTATCGAGATTACTAATGCTGAATCTTGTGTTTATAACTTTTCTAGTGAATCGGTTGTTACATCGACCCTAAAAGTTATTTCAGTTACCACGTCAAATCGTATTATTCCAGATTAGATGCTTAGCTTGAAATGATTTCTGTTTATGCTTCCTTTATCAGTTCTCTCTTTGTTTTTAACTGTTGATCATAGTTGTTATCTACAATCTTTTATAACCATTAAATATGTATCATCAAAAAGTTGAATAATTTCTAAACTTCCCTAAATCTTTCTGCCCACTTTAATCGGAATCGCCAATTTAACGGTTACTTCTTGTATTTTAAGCTACGATATTTACAGGCCTTCATTTATCTTTCAGTTAGATCACTTTTAGCTTCCATAGGTTTAACCAGGATTACCCCTGATCTATTCTTAACTATAATGGAAAGCTAAGATCAGAAAACAAGAAAATTTTAGCTACACTTGTTACCATAAAAATGAGTACAATGCCATTTTTTGGAATACATTTTATGTACTTCATAACGACTGTTCCATCTCATCTAGTTGAGAACGAGGTGTACTTAGCATTAAGATCCTATTGAAGTTGTTTTTATCCTGTTTGGTAAAGCATATCCATTTGATTCCAGATTAATTCCTGGAATCTCTATCAACATTACACAATATTACGGTAAATAAAGAGTGATTGCCGGTATTAAATGAAAACAAGTTACATGCTGAACAGTTTTCATAAGTAAATATCAAGATAGGAAAAAATCAAATTAACAGGAGAAAAACAATAATCATTCCTACAGAACGAGCATTTGGAGTGATGTTGATGTTGGAAGACACAAATGAAATAGTAAAAAATGTAAACATCCCATTAGTTTGACAATTGTTAATGATGCAGATAGAGAACCAGACAGCCCTTTAATAGCTTAATTTATTCAACTGTTGAGCCGCAAAATTATCATTAGCAAAACAAAATTATTGAATAATTTTTTGGGTTTATCCATCAGAGCCATCTATTGGCTTTTATCATCGAATCTCACCTAGTGACACCTGATGGTTTAACAACAGAAATTTTATTGATTTGTTATTTTTTTTCAGCATCAAAGCATTAAGCTTCTCCTTTCATCTTAACTGGTAAACTATCAAAAGTGGTAATGCTTATGCTCAAATATGTCTTATACTCAGTTGGCCCCAAGCCCCATCAATATCTGTAATTGTTATTGCTGTTGAAACGCTTTTCCTTTAAATTTATATTCACACATATTTATTTTTGTTTCTTGTTTTGCTTTTTTTTGTTCCTTTTATTATTCTCAACATTCAATGTGTTCACAAATTGGTCAGTGTAAGAAAGGATTGCCCTTCAAGGAGCCCATTGAATTTCCTCTTCCAGATCTAATCGGTGAATCAGATATTCTAACGGAAGATCGTAGACGAGAGTTGGCTCGTCACCTGCCAGCTCGCACTGAAGGATACTCATGGGCTTTGATCTACTCTACATCTAAACATGGTTTCAGTTTGAAAACCATTTATCGAAATATGGTTAATTATGAGAATCCAGTTCTTCTGGTTATCCAAGACACCGATGGATCCGTATTTGGAGCCCTTACTTCCACATCTTTAAGAACAAGTGATCACTTCTATGGAACTGGTGAAACCTTTCTATTCTCATTTTACCCTGAATTCAGGTGCTTTAGGTGGACTGGTGATAATGTTTATTTTATTAAGGGTGACACAGAAAGTATTGCATTTGGTGCTGGAGAGTAAGTTTCATCATTTTTTCCCATCCTTTTCAGTCTTTCTATCTTTGCAATCTTACCTATTTCCTTACCTTCCCTAACCTCTATCCTTACATCATATTATGAATCCTTATAAAATTATTGTTACTATTGAATCCATTATAAATTACATCTCCATTATTATCTCAATATTGACTTGTTTTCAATGCTATTCTATTGTCAATATGCAATATGTTCTATCTGGGTTTTTACTCAACTCTTTACCTTTTTTTTCAATTTCCTTTTATTTGTTTATTGTTTCATTCATTATCTGCTCAGTATCAACCGAGTCACTTTCTTATAACAATATGGTTAGCTTTGGTTATTTGTTGATTGTGTAAAAAAATGTCTTAAATATGTTGAAGACTAACAATTCTTGGAAGAAATTTCATGTCAATTTAATGTCAATGCAAATGAATTGCATTGATTTTTTTAATCCTTGTAATGTTAGCGGTTGACTGTAAAAAAACAAAAGGAGAAACCATCATATTATGCTTCAAGTTAATTACATGTGCACAGTTTTGTTATTTCATAGGCTGCTGCCTTCAATCAATCAATCAATTGTTCCATTCAGCTTAAACTTGCAACCATTATTATAACATTTTGAATCTTTCATAACTCGATCACTATTCACTACAAGATCTAAAAATTCCATATGTTTTTTTTCCAACATTTACCAGTTTCAAGTCTATGCAAATATTTTTGTCATTTGATTGTATTTGTGAGATAAAGCATTTCAACAATAGTTAACCTTGACAATTTGCTGATAAACTTGGAACGAAAAAGAATAGCAAGAATACAAAATTTATCATGAAATAAAGCTTTTCCTTTCATCTCTTTCCTTACCCTGTTACCGTTGATACTATGTATTAATTGTGTAGATAAAATGTGTTATTGATAGACGAAGAGTGTTCTTGATCTCGATAAAAGCCTTTACCCGGCAAAACAAAGTTCAATGTTAGTCTGTTGGCGAAAAAAAAACAACACACAAATGATGATTTAATAATTACATTAACACTCTAATAACTCTATCAATAGACTCAATTGAATTATCTGTTGGTCCAATAGCTGCTGAGTGATAAATTATGTAATCCCGAATCATTTGATTGATTAACTTGCAACCTTCTACTATTTTGCATTTAAGAAACGCTTAATTACTTGATTATTATTGCATTTCTCGTTCAACTCTTTTCCCAACTGACAAGCTTTCAAGTCAACTTTATCAATAACAATAAGTGTCAGGTTAAATTGCAATTGCAAACAACTGGCCAAATATTTCAATTTTAACCCGCAATTTCAATCTTTTTCATTTTTCCTTTCTCCTTCTTCTTCTTCTGTCCAATCTTTTACCTTTTAACCTATCAATAGTTAATCATTTGAAAGCTTACCTAAATAATTCAGGAAGTCAAACCTAGAGAATGCCATTTTTTTCCTGGTAAAAATAATGGACTGAGATACAGTTAAGAAACCCAATTTTACCTTTCCTCAGATTCAATCCCAGATCTTTTGATTTGCCAAAAAAATGGTTTATCAATGTCAAAAGACAATTTGTAATTTCCATCAAAATGTAATCATCTCAAGTCACCTTATCAAGAGTCAAACACTTTGTCAAAATTGATGTAAAGCAAACCTGTCACTGATTGTAATGATGAACGAGCCCGAACCCAAAAAAAAAGACTCCAGTTTGAATAAACATTAACAGGAAGAAAAAGTAACAAACTTGATAATGTCGATGATGATTTTACCTCAAATCATCTCTTATTTGTTCAGATGCTTCGCTTGCCATTTCAACATGATCACCATGATCATTGCAATGCTCTTGATCACTCTTATTATTATATCAATGATGATACTTGATGAGTTAACCTTATTCATTGTTTTACTTTCCTCATCCCATCCTATTTATTTTACCATGTTAACATTCACAGTCACAAACTTCTCATCTCTATTAACCTGGCCTAAACAATTAATTGACAGTAATTTAAGCAAACTCAACTTTACCCAATATCCAGAATAGCCTGAATAACGACTTTGCTGTCAACTAATTATCATGAAAAGCCTCTTTTTTGCCTGCAAAGAGTTTTATCTTGAATCCTCTTTTTTTCTTCAACTTTTTTTTCTTCTCTCTCTATTCCCTGTCATTTCTGAATAATGAACTTTTTTTGTCACCTTTTCGTTGTCTTTTCCTTTGATTGATCATTATCGGTTGACGTTGAAAATGTAAATAGTTACCAGTTTAATCCATATGTTACCAAATCCATTTTGACTAATTTATCTTGAATCTTAATCAAGAAGAAAATTGTTAATCAACAGCAAATCTAATTAACATGCCGCTCAATTGAATTCACTTCTTAATTGAGGCAATAACTGTCAACAATTTTATTACACTTTGTTTTTGATGATTGTATCATTGTTGAACAATTATGATTTACAATTGAATCATAATCTGTTTAGATTGAAAATTCAATTTACATGGAAAACTTGGTTATAATTTGATTAGACAGATTTATGTTGCATTGCAAGTTTCAACTCCAATTGTAATAATTTTTCTTGATTTACATGGAATTTTCGTGAACTCAACTTTTATCATCATCATTAACCAACTATCATTTCATAGGGAAAAAAAAGATGTAAAGAGTTGAGAATTTGTTTTATCCAATTTTTCGCTTGTTACTTTAGTCTGGTTTTTCCTAAACAAATATTATCATTATAACGATCATTATCATTTATTAATCAAAACTTTTCTGTGTTTCAAGTGGCAATATTTATTCACTTTTTTGTTCATGGAAATATTGACTATAATTTGGGTTTAATGTTGAAACAATAACAAGGTCGAGTTGAAGAAAGTTGAATCAATGGGTAAAAAGTAAATTATATTGCTAGTAAGACCAGAGTCTTGACCAGTTTTACATTTCCCTTGACCTCAACTCTGACAACATCTTCATGATAACACAAGGCATAATTAAGATTTGCTCTCTCCTTTAACCAACAATTTGAAACCCAACCTTAATATTCATTGTTTGTATTATTCATTATCATTGTCCATTACTCATTGAAATGATCAAATATAATATTGATCCAACTTTTGGATCATCAAAGTATAAATTTCACAATTTGTTTCTTCCTCTGGATTCATTTTTTGATGTAACGATTGACTCATTTTCTGGTTAAAATTTACTTGAATTTTTTATTGATTTTCGTTTTTTTTCTCTTCTCTTTTTCTATTCTAGTGGTAGCTTTGGTCTTTGGCTGGATGGTGACCTTTACCATGGAAGTAGTAATCCATGTCAAACCTTTGGCAATCCTCGACTATCAAAGAACCAAGATTTTGTGGTGAAAACGTTGGAATGCTGGGGATTTGTTTGAAAGCTGCTGACATGATCGTTATCATGCTCCTCTGATTTAATCTGTAATCATTGATTCTTGGATTGAGCAAGCAACAAAGAATGGAAACAATTATAACTAATCAAAGTCATTGTGAATCAATATGTGTATTCATTTATACTGTCAACTCTGTTTCCATTCTTTCCTTTTCCATTCTCTTCTATTCTCTATCTCTCCTTTGGAAAAGCTGCAACACCGAGAATCTATTACCTCTTTTCACCAACAATTAACTCAATTGTTGATTGTAATCAATTGGATCATCATATCAAGTGATCATCATTGAGAGTCAATACCAAAATTTCATCTCAATTTTTCTTTCCTTTTGCCAAGCCCAAACAATCTAAAGCAATCTGAAAAACAAAAAACAATCTCTAATCAAAAATTAATTAGAGTTTAAACCGACTAATCATAGTTTACAAAAATCCTATGTTAGATTTTACAATTTAACTCTAATTACTTCCCATTGAACTAAATTGTGTTGATTTATGTTTTCCTCTTTTCCACTCATTTTTCTGTTGTTTCTTCCTTTTCTTTTTTCTTACAAACTATCATGTTATTTCAATCTCTTTTCCGATTTCATTTCTTTTTTTTGATATTATTATCGTTTTCTTCTCTGTTCTGTTATTCAATAATTTAACAATCAAGTTAATTAATGTAATATCCAATAATCAAACTAGTTGGTAGTTGAACGTCCAAATGGCTGTTTGCCATCGATTACCAGTCCGATTTACTGATTGATTAAGTGAGATTACGGAAAGAGATTAATGACAAAAGATAAAATAGTATTTATGTAGATTTATGATTGCTAAATTGCAATCTTGGACAATCCAAATCTCAGTTTAACTTTAATAATTGCGACAAACAAAAGCGAATTAATAAATGTAACATAGAATTGAAAGACAAACAATTTCTGATTAAAAATTCAATTGTACCTTATATTTTTCATTTTTAACGTGATTTCATTTATTGATTTTATTACCTTTCCATTAGTCAAACCCAAATTTATTGGTTAACTTATTGATTATTTTTCTTGTTCAATCTTTTGTCTACCTTTAGCTGATATCATTTCATCTTGGATGGTCATTTTTATTATGGAAAGCCAGCTATTCAATGTTCAACCTTACAGAATCAAAGGCTATAAAAATCAAACAATTTGTACTGAATGTTGAAATTTAGTTTAATATTAATGTGATTGATTAAAATCTTGTAAAATGGATTTGTAAATGAACCGAGAAACAAGTACAAAAAATTAAATGATTTACAGAGTAAAAAAGTTTAACAAAAATATATTTTTCTGGTTTGCCTGTAATGCTATTGTATGGAGGCAGTTGATTTGATGGATAAGAAATTTCTGGTTAAATTGGGAAAAATTGCTAATTGATCAACAGTGATTCATTTGAAAGCTAAATAGCCATTAACAATTGGTGATATAACTTTTGGGGAAAAATTGAAATCCATGGATGAGTATTTTAAAGAGTTACATAGTTGCTGCATGATTTGAAATGATTGGTAATTTTTTGACTTTTAGTAATGATTATGGGTTGATGACTTGATTTGGAGTGATTGAAGATGGCAAATGATGAAGGTAATGAAGATGATTTGATGAGAATGATATGGAACCAATCAAATTAGACCAAAATTGAATAAAATTAATGGCATCCGAAAGGTTTACAAGTGACACTTTGTGGCAAATTAACCATTCGTAAATTAATATATTGTAATATATTAATTATGACGATAAATACTATTGGCAAGTGTTTGATATAAAATTAGAGCTAATAAATAAATCTCAAGAAGTCTCTTGAAATGGTTATCCAAAAAAGTAAAGCAAAAAGCTCATGATGTTACCAAGTAAACATTGTAAATTGACTGATCGACAGATTTCAATTTGGTAAATGTTGACAAAAATAATCGATATTAATTCAATGGCAATCAACAGGCTTTCAGTTTGAATGTTTATTGGCCCCACCAACCCATGGATATCGCTCTGGACAAGGTTGACATGTTTTCATGAAACGAGTGCCACTCTGATAGCGTACATTGCAAACATTTGGATGATGACAAGGACCCGGTCTTTCAGAGGATAAATTTTCACAAGACCAGGGTTGAAAGCTTTTAATGGACGACAATGGAGTCGGATTCCTCATCCATTCAATCAACTGCCAATTGGTTAAAATATAAACATCTTTATTGGCCAGTATAGTGTCCACAAACTTGAGGAAACCTCTTCTGTGGTGATTGGTATTGAACCAGGCTGAATGGTAAAACAAGCCGAACGGAGCTTTATTGGTTGTGTAGTGACGGTTGAAATTTTTAAGCAACATCTCAAAGACACCTTCTTCATCGGAGGGGTTTGAACATGAATCGGCCATTGAACATCGTCCACCTTTCAGGTCTTCCCACATTACCATGCCTGTAAGGATTGAGAGAAATGAGAAGATACAGATTAGTCCATCTTTATTAATACAGTTTATACAATTTATAACAATCAATTTTTTCAATCATTCACTACGCAATGTCTAATGATATCAGTGTCTAGAGAGATGTATATTCAGTTGAAATAATTAATATATGAAATGTTTAATTATTCAATAGGTTTCTTTTACAGACAACCAGTATTGATTTTACAAACAGTTGTTCATCAATTTATCAAGGTTTAGTTAATAGCTTGGTTAATCAAGTTGGAATCATTAGCTTGCCCTCAACTGATTATATTGATTAAATTTTAAAAGCTACTAAATAATTTACCATCAACACTATTAGGGAATTTTGTTTTACTGGTTTCACTGAAAAGCCAATGTAAAATTAATAAGCATTAAATGTAAATCCTTCTCATTACCAACAGCATGTTAACTTGTTGGTGTTGCTAATCTAACTCAATCTAACCCTTATCGATGAGGTTTACAATTAAAAATTGGTAAACAACAATTGTAAGGTTATTTTTACAGTTACATTTGATTAATTAAAAGCTCTGAAAATGGTGGTTCATTAATATCCTTGGCTAATTGTTATTATCAAACATTTTATAAAGTGAAACGCTCTTGTCTGCCTAATTATTACAATTAAAAGCGAAATTAAAATGAAGCAAGATCAGTCCACAAGTTCGGAACAATTGTCAGTTTCTTTAAAAGTTATTGTTATTCAATTATTGTCTTATTGTTGCTCAAACTGTTCTAATTGTTGAAAGAAATGGCCATTACAGTTGAATAATAAAAAGCATAATTACATGTTAAACAAATTTTGATATAAATTCATGTTAAATTCAAGTACATGTAGATTTGTTTAAATGTTTAAATTAGCGTTGATAACAACTCTGAGTGTTAGCTGGTATTTTTATCATTATCCTTTAGTTTGTGTTGAGGATTTACAATTGAAACATCGGAAAGGTTTTCATGAAAAGGTTAACTTACAATGAAAATGTAAATATAAACTTATAATGAAAAATAATCCATAATAATCAACAATTTAAAGGTCACAATATTATTAGCTTTAATAAATTGGTCTAAAAATTGTGGTCTATTGTTATAAATTAAATGAAAGATTATAATAGAAATAGGTAAACTAATAATATCCTAATTGTTGGGGATAATTTGAAAGATGTTGATCATGTCCGGCTATCAATTTAAACATTTCTAATGAATTGTAATGAACAACGAAATTGAAGAACAGCTTTGAATCACGATTTATAAGCGTGATAATTTTGGTGACTCTAATTTTAACGGAAAAATTGTTGATTAATTGTTTGCTATCGTTTACAATTGTTAGGTGAATTTTAAATCAACAAAGCATGATTCTTTTAGGCTTTAATTAACCAAAGTTGTTTATTAGAGAGACTAATACTAATACTAATATATTAATAAAATAGTAAAGCACATATAAGGAATATTGTATAATTTACATGTTAGTTTACTGAATAAATGATGATTTCTTAAATTGCTTTTCTTAACTGCTTACTACTAAATTCAAGTCTAATTTGAACTTAATAAATCAACTAAAACAAGAGCGTAATTTGTTTTTGAGCCATTCAAGGCTGATCCTTTTTACCAGAAAACACTTCAAGTTGATTACGAGGTTGAAAATTGATGTTCCTAATCAACTCACCAACTTCCCAAACACCGGGAAATGATTTAGTAGGACATGGACTAATCATACAATCATGATTAAGAGCATAATCCAATGTGTAAGGCCAAAATGGAGGTCTATTATCAAAGACTGGCATTGACGAGTCATATGTGAAATTGTCTTCGTGAAGCATTTCAAACATACGATTACCACCGATCTGTAAGAATGGAGCTCTCATTCCTCTGATGTCCTCCAATCGAACTCCTCCGTATAAATGAAGTATTTCCCTTTGACCATTGACCTCTTTATGCCACTGGCTTTTCGAAAATTTTTCCCCAAAACTGTGACTGAAAATTTAAAATAATTCATTTTTAGTTTGTCATCAAATTGGACAATGACTTTTATTGTTTTAACATTGTTATGACACTTACGTTACAGTGTGTGAGGCAAACTCATGACCTCTTGAGTAGAGGGTTTGAACTTGCCCGTAATCTGTCCATTCATGAGAAGCATAAAATGTTCCTAAGATTGGACATCCATTTGGGTTAACTCGCCCACTATTGAATATCTCTTCATATAATTCCCAATTAAGATCGTTTACAGCATCATCAAACGTTAATAACACAACTTGTGGTGTTTCATTTCTTTTAAGGCCGCCTAAAATTGATAATAAATTAAAGATGGATTAAAATATATAATCAACAATTTAAATATCAAAATAAAGAAATATTTAAAGATTTAAAGAATTGTATTGATACCTGGAATTGCAGGGCCTCCACAATTACAATCTGGAAGAAGGCATTTCCTGGGATCACATTTAACTGCTGTTGTGTATGGAGTTGGAGTTGGATAAACGGGTGCTGGTCTAGAAGGTGGTTTAGGTGCTATGGTGGTTCGTTGTTTTACAACTAAACGTTTATTTGTTGGTCGCGATTTTCGAGTTGTTGGACCTCTTGTTTTCGGCCCAAGTGTTATACCAGTAGTTCCGTCAATAGGAATTGATGAGAATGAAGATAATGGCGATTGAGGAGATGGCGGTAGTGAGGGTGAAGGTAATGGTGTTGTGGTTGAATCGAGATTAGATGCAGTTGCAGGCGTGACGACTGGGGAAGTTGTTTGTAATGAGTCTTTAGTTGCAGGCAAACTGGGTGTCGATTGTTGACGGGTTGTGGGTAAAACTCTAGAATCTTTCAACCCATTAACTAGTCTAGAATTTGGTGCTTCTTTGTTAATTGACAAGAAACCGTCGTCAGGCCAAGTGAGCTCATCCTCCACCTTGAGTCGTGGATTGGTGACAACACGCTTCTCAGGTTTTCCAGTTACCAGTGAATTAGTAATTATTTTAACTGGTTCTGAGTAAATTGTTTGAGGTCTTAAGGTTCGCAATATTTTACCAATAAATGGTGTATTTGAAGGAATGGGGGCCATTGAGATTGGAGAAGGAGTCGTTGAAGTAGTTGTAGTTGTGGTGGATGAACTGATACCAATTGAGGTACTTGTAATTACAGGACGCTCATTGTTTACCTGGTCCTTTTTGGGATCACTACTGGTTGAAGTAGATCGGTCATCTGATAGTCCGTTATTAGAGGTTAGATGGTTATTATCAAGATTTATAATAGCTTTATCATTTGATATTAGAGAAGCGATAAAATTTGCTCTATTTGAATCAGAATCTGGAAACTCTATTGTTCCTTTATTCCATTGGACATTGTATGCTGCATTATTAGATTCGGTAGGCGGCAATGGAAATGACATTAAATTGGTTTCTCTAGTCAGTGATGATGAAATTGGTGGTTGATTCTTTGGTGGTGAAGCAGGTATGGATGAGCGAAATGGTAATGATGAAGATTTGTCAAATGAAAAATCTTTTGATTCAGGTTGCCTCGATGAGGGAGAAGAAACTGAATTTGAAGACAAAGATGGTAAATTTTCATTGAATCCAATGGGTTTGGCACGAACGACAACTGAACCATCAGTTTTTGCTTCAATAAAATTTGGTAACATTTTAAAATTTTTATTCATCATTTTAACCTGATGCAATTTATTTTTCGGAACAATTTTAGGGACAACACGAACCCTTCCACGGTGCCTTCGACGACCCTCGTTAATGTTGAAAGGTACTAATATAAACTCTTCATTGCCATCCTTACGAAGCAACTGGCTGTTGGACTCAAGGTTCGTCGGTTTGTGAGCCATATTTTCAGGAATAGATTTCTCCGAATTATTTGATAATGTTCTGGTCACATTTTCATTGATTTTGAAATCATCTTCTGGATCGCTAGATTTCATTTTTGATCCAACAGCTGCAAGAAGGTTACCAGTTGGCTGTTCATTTGGCCTCGAAGCTGATCTACCTCGAGAACCACTGCTTTTAGATGTTGAATGAAAAGACTCATCATAGTTGTTTGGAGGTAAAAATGGATTATTGCTCCGAAAATTAGACTTCTCAGGCGTTATAATAGGAATATATTCGTAGCCAGGTTCAATATTATCTTTGAGTAAACGTGCTTCACGAGATCTGCCACTTTTGATTGAGTCAGACGATAGAGGTTTAATGAAAACGTTTAAACTGTGATCGGAAACACTTTGGCTTAATAGACCAGGAAGTTGATCAACGATTCCAAAGGTACCACCAACACCATCAGAAAAATGAATTCCTCCTTTACTATCAACAACCGGAGGAATTGCTTCAGCATAATTTGGCGCTTGTGGATCAAACTCAAGATTAATTTTATTTCCATGATTTTCTGAGTATCTGTTTTGATTCTCACGAGGTCTAGATGATTCGATAAAAGGTTTACCAGAATTATCGTCTGACTCTGCAGATGAGTAAATGGTAGCAGGTCGAGGAATCGGTTTTGGACTTGGTAAGGGTAAGCCATCGGTTAAATAATCAATTTCTGGAGCTTTTGATACTGCAGGTTGTGAGTGAGCTTCAAAGTTGATACTGTTGCGCTGCCCTCCATCAAGCGGTGTTGAAGGTGGAGGGGAAGGTATAAATGAAGCTTGTGGTGGTGATGATCTGTTGCTATTGTTTTTGTCAGTGACTGTGCCAACTGGTTGATCATCTACTAGAGTGTAATCAGGTATCTCTTTATCAACTACATAGTGTTCAATTGGACGAACAAATGATGAATTATTGGTTCTGATGATTATTTTATTGTAATTTGCGTTAATTCCATTGGGCCTGTCCTTTTCATCCTCATCGCTTGGTTCCTCTTTGACTGTGTTAGGCCTTTTATTGTTGTTATTTTGGCTATTTGTTGATTGACGTACGTCATAGTCAAAACCATCGTCTCCTGAGCCAATATCAACAGTGCTGAAAACTGACTTTTCATAATTTTTCTTCTCATTTGGACATTGGACATTCCGAGGCCAATCACATGTCTGAAGTTCAGCGGAAAAATACAAACCACCGGTGCAACTTTCATGTAAAGGTTCCCCGAAAACACAGACAAAATATTTGGTACAATCACGTTTATCTGGAAAATAGCCAAATTTTTCGGGACAAATGAACACTGAACGATTAGCAGCTGAAGGTAATAACGAGAAAGCAGTAAATCTTTCAGATTCACGAGCCGTTCCTAAATCTGTAGAAGCAAAATAAGAATGAAAATTAGTATAAAATAATGAAAAGTATTGATAAATTTTTGACAATTGGACAACATTTTGCGAAAAACACTCGACTATAGCCTCATAACCGTGAATAATTGAGAAATATTTCAAGATTGAGATTATAATTTACAGTCATCATTATTAGGATTTGGTTGAATTTAATCCATTTATCTGGATTAAAAAACATTCATTGTATGCAATTGGAAATCTCAACACACCCAGAATCAACAGAAGTTGTTAATGTAATGAAAAATTTAAAATAAAAGGAAGAAAATTGAAGAACCATTTGGTTAGTACATCTCAATCAATTTGAATAATGTAAAGTTGATAATAATCATGAAATGAAAAGTTATTGTCTCCATTTATTACACCCAATCACTAGAAGCTCAATTTTGATTTCATATTGGTAATCCTAATACAAGTAGTTACAAGAAGAGATTCAAATATGATGAATGTATTAAATCTAATGGACAATTGATTGACAGGTAAGTTTAGCATGTTTAGTAACGAAAATTAAATATTAATTCGTGTATTGTTACCATCATCTTCATTTTTATCATCATATGGGTCCACCTTATATTAACTTTGGCACAAGTTGTACACACTTATACAATATTTGTTACTTTCACTTGCATCTTGGATTATCTTCAACATCTTCTCTTCATTTCTCCTCCTAAATTACATTAACAATTAAATTTTGACAAGCTGATACAATTAAAACAAGCACAGCACACGTAAACAGAACCATACAATTTCAGAATAATGATTGTGCTCTATGAGAAAGAGAGAGAGAGAAAGATTGTTTGAACAGTAATTTCTTAAATTTTAATGGCTTGATGGTAATCAGAGATGAAAATTTCCAATTGATGAAGATGATGATGAGTAAGAGAAGGAGAATAGATCGAAAGGTAAAGGTAATGTTTGCTTTGTTTTAAAGGTTTATCTAACTGTTCAAGGGTTTGCTTCACTACACTATAAAAGATGAAGGGAATAAACTAAAATCAAACTTGTATCCAAATTAATTTGAAGCAACAATTATTGCTTTTGATGATGATCATCCTCATTACTTTTATAAAAAAAGATAAGTAAATTACCAACCTGTGTAACTGTCTTCCTTCAATTCAGATCACAATTGAGGTCATTTTATTTGCTCAACTTTGATTCTCTTCTGATTCTAAGCTACACCTTTTTTCTCTATCCAGTACAATGGAAATACGAAAGTGAGATTTACAGGTTTTACTGTTTTAAATTAACAATCAATCAATTGAAATATTTACTTGACCGCCATACTTATTAAATTTTTGATTGCCTGATTTTTTAGTTGCTGAATAAAATCAACACAAGAAAATCAATAGCAGTTGTTGAGAGTCAAGATAAAGATGGAGATATATCATAGCATTCAGTTCAAGTTAGATAACAAAATTATTTAAAACCATTGAAATCATGGTGATAATTAGGTGAGTTGAGTTAACACAAGTATGCAAAAAGAGATGAAGATATCAGCAATTAATATTCACAAAAGATTCAAATTGATGGGTTTATCCATTGAAAAGCACATCACAAAAAGAAACGATGATTTACATTCAAAAAATAGAGGCACGCAATGTTGTAAATATAATAGTTATAAATATATTTCATGGTGATGATTGACTTGATGATCAGTGTGATGATATAAAGAAAAAAAATGTATACAATGATTACTATCCTTTCAATCATAAATTAACCATATGATTGAGATATGTCCAGTTGAAAGAGAAGCGTATATAAACAGGGAACAGTAAGAAAAAGGAGAAATCAAGTTGACTGATAAATTGGTTTTCATTGTTGGTTATCATCAGAAGGTCAATTACTCATTGGGACATGAATGATTTGGGAAGCATTTTTTTGTCTATTGATCAGCTCCTCATCGTTTGCTTGTTGATAATAATGGTCACTTGTTGAAGCCTTTTGTTACATTTTTCATGTTTATTGTTGCAAGACTCATTTTTTCAATCAACTGTCATTCAATTGCATCATTATTATAAACTGATATACGGGATACAGCAAGTGAAGCACAATTATTTTCAACAAACTGTAGTCTATCACACCGTTTCCAAACCGTTTACTTAGGATTGTTTACCGCAATTATCTCATCAGTTGAAAAATAAGACTCTGGATATTTCCATACTTAGTCAACGGTTAAAATAAAAGATGAAATCTAAAGATAAGAAATTTTCTTTTCTAAAATTAACTGTTATCAACAAAGGCTAATGACGATAATGATGATGACCTATGAATTGTTCAGTTAAAATCTGTTAACAATGGTTTTAGCTGAAAACCGAAAAATCGGTTTAATTTGTTTTTTTATCTAACAGTTGGAAACGCTATTAGTTTTTAAGACATAATCTTTCTCATTGTGCTCTTGTGTCTTCGACTTGAAATTTGTGTTTCTCAAGTAAATAATCTGAAATTGATTTTTTTTTCTATTAATAATTTTATTTAATTTTAGTCAATTGTTAACTTTATTGTGCCTATTGATTGGATTTAAAGAAGCAAATGTGAGGCCAAAGTGTACCCGTTTTGAGAAAACCTTTTAATTTGGAAATGATTAACTTTCATTTTATACCCTTGAAGATGATCTTGTCAAGTGTATCTTACCAATAATTTGCTTTCCCTGATCCTTTCTTCGTTATCCTGTATTTCCTCAATATCATCACGATAAGTGTCTAATGTTAATTTGATTGTGTCCATCAATAAATCTTAATTCAATCTTCAAGTTTAAAGAAGTCAATGCAAAAAAAAGAGAAAGGTAAACTCATCACTTTGAAAAAAAGCTTCACTTTATGAAGCGCGATAAAGACACATCACGTTTTAACTTACACTTTCATCTTGACCATTCAACTTTCTTACCATTTCTTAAATATATCATTATTATAAATCCTTTTCTTTCACCAACAATCAACCTTTTCTACCTTCTCCTTCACCCCTGATTGTTGTTGGTGATTTTGTTGATAGTGTCGATTGTCCTGAAAGGTTTGTTGTTCTTTTACCGTTTCTTTCTTTCACTTTCACTTTCAATATACATGATTTCATCGGTGGTCACTAAAGGTTACCTGATTGCGATACATAAGAATATTGAGAACAAGTGAAGATAATTGTACCTGGTCAGCCAATTAAAACTTCAATTGTTAACAAATGGCTATCTCTTGTTTTTATTATTCAATTCTTTTTATTTATTTTCTTTCTCTTACAGATTGGCCTCTGATTGTTGATAGGAAAGTCCATAAAAACAACGGAATCACAACGGAGAAGGAAGGAAGCAACGTTTAATATCAATTATGTCAACAGTGAAGCTAACCAATTATGTTCATAATACTGTCATCACAGAATTAAAACAATGAAATGGATGAAAAGAAATAAATCATAATAGCTGATTCAAGTAATCTTTATCTCAATGATATTGTACTCTTGATACGTGCTAATGGTCATTATTGGTGTTAATTGTAATATAATGTAAACACTGAAGTAGAAAGAATTGTGCAAACGACTCTGAAACTTGGCAAATCATGGAAAGTGCTAGTGAAAGGTCAAGAAGAAGAGCCGACAAGAAGAAGAAAAAAGCAAAGCTGAAAATGGGCGCAAATGTTGGCTCATTTTCAAATATTCAACCAGTGGGGAGTCGAAATGAAAAATATTGGTTTGTGATTGATGACCGATTACCGTTTTTAAGGATACTTCAAGTAAATCAAGGTATTTCAGTGGGAACCATAAAATGTAAACAATGAAAACACTGTTGATTTTTTCAAGGGAAACTAACATTTCAACGTTTTTCTTTTCAGGTCAAGTTCGATGGATTAAATGCATGTACATATTTGTTCGAAGATCAGAATGAAAAATTGGTTCATTTCTCACCCTTTGCTTAGCCAAGTTTGTATTTATCTAACTACGGTCAGTCGATGGTCACATTTTTTCCACTTATACTTTGTTGTTGGCTAATATTCGCAAATTGTTTGTTTTTTGTTTGATGCAAATAATTTCATTTGATACGGTTCAATAGAAGGATCACATGAAAATCCATTAAGCAGCTAAATAAGCGGAAAAATCTTGCTAATCTTGTAAAAAGCTGCTAAATGCATTTAGCTGCATCAACAAAAATCAGTGATGCCTTTTACGTTCAATTTTTTCTGTACTTTTCAATCTTCAATCAAGGCTAAAGTGATACAATGTAATGTTCATTTTGCTCAGATATTGTGGTTATAAATGGTTCAAATGACTATAATTTTAATTTCGTTGGTAATGAGAACCATTTTTTTACAGAAAATAATTTGTGAGACTTTGAAATTCAGATTAGCATTAGGATAACAATAGAGTTGAAATTTTCAATAGCACTAATGATGAAGATATTGATCAATTAATGTGTCTGTAAGCTCGAGCTATTTCGTGATTTGATCGTATCCTTGAATGTCGACTGATGATTCCAATGCAACTTGAATTTGCTTTTTCAGTAAATTGTGGTAACTTGTGTAAGTTGGCTTATAAATTTCAAGCCATTTCTCATTGAAATTACTTATCACTTTTGGCGTTTCATTGCAGTTGAAATCATTGTCGTTACCTAAAGATTATATAGTTATTTATTTTTGATTATTTTTTCTAATTTTCTAATTTTCTCTTTTCATTTTCAGGTTCGAGGTTAATGTTACAATGAAAAAATACAAAGCATCAACAATATTGCTGGAAATGAAGTTGAAAATCGAATCGTCTACTTTTCATTAAATTTGTTCTCAAGCTGCAATATCTAATTATACTAATGCAGAAAGCAACGGAAAAAAATTTGATTACGACTAAAGGAAATAAAGATTCTGGCTCGTTGATTGTGACAACAATTAGGCAATTACCATTCCCTATGAAACAAGTGAGGTAGGAAAGCAGAAACTTTCATCTGGTAACATGTTAAATGGTTAAATTGTGAGAATCGACCTCAATGGAAACCGTTAACCAGTTAAGCTGTGAATCAGAAAAGAAAGAAAAAGTAGCAATCATCTATAATTTTGCGTTTTTTTCTACCATCTTCGTAGTTTCACCTCTACCCTTTTACATTTTCATAAATCATAACTCAAATGACCTTTTAGTCCAGATGTCCAGTTTATACTTATTAGCTGGGAAACGACTGTTTTTTGGAGGCTATGAGAAAAGAGAAATGCCGTTTATAACACTCAGGCCATCATAATGATTCAACTTTAAACACAGAAAGGCCAAACCATTTCTCATTTGAATTGTCCAAACAAGACTCAAAATTGGTCAACCTTTATCCAATCGTAACTGTCGAACTGGAAGACTTAACTCACGAAGATGATGGAACCATTTAATTATGAATCTTTACCAATTATAAGTAACCAATAATTTTGGAGCAAATTCAATTCAATTTACCCATTTACGTGCTCAAAGTAATATTGCCAACCATGGATTGATTAAACTGTAAGGTTATCCACATTATCATTTCAATTAATTTTATCTCATATTGAACCAAGTCCATCATGATCAGCAATTACGCACTTGGTTCTAGAGACACCTAACCATGACCTTTTTGATAATATGAAGTTTGAAATTGAAAATTGAAAAATTGATTTTTCAATCAATTTTTGGATTACAAAATGAAGGAAATATTTCACTATTTTTTATCAAGGGCTTTCGGATATCTTGATGTAGGAACATCGTAATTGTTAGATGAATTACAGTGATGATTAAATAGTAAATAGAAGTTGGTTTAATCAAAAAACGCGCATCGAATTTGGATTTGTGTTAAAAGGCAACGTTTACTGAATAGTTTCATGCAGGTTGCCAATTCTATTGAGTTCACTGAGATTTTCTCAAATTGTTATCATTTAATTAATTACTGTCCATTTTGTCAGTAAAATTTGATTGATCGATTACATTAGATTAACTGAACTGCAATAAAATTATGCTTGAAATGCTGTTAAATTGATCAACACTTAGCAAACGTTTCTTGTGAATTTACGTGTTAATTTGATTAATTTGCTGATTCCTCAAAACTCAGCCAGTTGTTGATCATAACTGTTAGTGTTGATATAATTTAACATATACTTCACTCAAAATTTAACCTCAAAAAATGCATTTAAATCAACTTATCTAATAAATTGTACTTTTTTTCAAATCATAAACCTTGTCATTCAGGTATTCAGCACTTTCATCATTTGGTGTCAAACTTGGCTCTGATAATTATATTAATTAGCGTACAATCATTCAAATTGTCCACTATTTAGCTTAAAGGTTAGGTGACAATAAGGACAGCACAAAATGTAACACTGAAGGAATGATTTTAAAATTTGAAATGAATCTTGGTTACTCTTATTATTTAAGCTAAATTAATTCACAATTGGCCTCATAAGACAAGAAAAGAGGTAAGAAAAGACTCAATTGACCATGTTTACGTTTTTTAACTAATTTTATAATTTCTTTCATAATTTAGCTCAAACTGAAGTCCAATAAGCACCCACGAATCAGGTTCATCATAACTTGCTTGTAAAACATTTGATTATTGCTATCTCCTTGATTGATTGGACCATAAAGGCTTGTTGTTGGAAGCAGATTTATTTTTAAAGCCATTGTATAACTCAAGATTGCTCATCCTTTTTACTCGTCTCCTCAGTTTCCCTGGTCAGATGATATTGTAATTGTTCATGATTCAGTTAAATGGATAAATTACGTGTAATTTGGTCAACAACATTGTTTATCCTGTTGATACACTTGAAGTCAATGATGATGATTCAAGTTGACGGAGCAACATGAAAATCAAACCATGGTTAATTATCAAGTGTAGTATACCCGTTCAATCAGATTTGTAGCTTGTTAAATAAGTTAATTTATACTTTTACCAAGGTGCATATTTAAAAGATCTGATTTATTGCGTGTTGAACAATCAAAAACAGCAACGTTTGTCATCAAATTAACTGAAAAAAAAGCCATACAAGCACTGCAACTCTACTGATCCTCCTTCATCAACAATATGCTATCCTCAAACGGCTTTTATTACAACAATCGTTTAAAAAACATTCTACCTGGTCTATCATTATCATCATTATTACTAGCTGGTATATATGATTACAATTGTGAACCTGGTTCAATTGGATGTTCAAATAACCGACACTAAAACCTAACCTTTACTGGTTGGCAAAGTAAAATTTGATTGCTAAAAAAACCTGTGAACAAGATAAACTCAACATTATTCTAATTTGCTTCCGCCTGATGGTAATAATACAAGTTAAATGCATTTTACATGCAAAATTATCATAATCAGAAAAAATTGCATTACATTGAACAGTTTTTTTTACTCAATTTCATAAACTTTCTTTTCGTCATCTTTCATTCCTCACCATGTTTCACCATTATCATCATCCTCTTTTTTTAACCATTTCTTCTCTTTGTTTTTTTCCTTTCTTTTTCTCTCCAATTTACAGTCTCAGACAATGAAATTGCGTTCAATGGGTTGATCAGGGAAAAAGTCAAAAATTCAAAACCCCAATTCAAAATATGGATCAAAAGGATGATCATCATGAAAGCTTGACATTAACACTACAATAACTGTTGCATTGATGTGATATTTTAACAATTTTGTAATTTTTAATCTATTATATGCATCAATTTGACGTAATCAACACACTCCTGAAGTGATGCCTGTTGTTTAATCACAATCAATGGTCAGTTGATCTTTTCTCAACACTTGATTTTAATTTTTTTTTCTTCCTCTCCTTCCTTATTCTATTCAATTTTAGTTTCATTTACACATTGTTGGCAAATATTTAAATGAAAATCTTGATAATGACGATTGTATAATATCATGAGAAAGATCTGTGCAAACGCTACAACCGCAATTGACAAGAAAATGAAGCAAAATTTAATGAATTTGATATTCAACTTATCAACTTGAAGCTCAAACGAAAGCGTATCAGGACAGGAGTAGAAATTTTACTATCCATTGTTGGTTTACATTCAAGAACACAATTGGTATCAATTTGGTTTACCATTTAAAGTAAAAGGTCAACTCTTCGATATGATAGTTTCTGTTGACACTTTTCAACTTGAATTTATGTGTAAGCTGATTGTATCGAATGGATGACAAAGCTGGTGAAAACACATGAAATTTCCAACATCTTACCAATACTGTTAATATTTGGGTTGGACTTGTACATAACAATCTGGTTTATTCATATTCATGCTGAAATTGATCATCGTCATCATCAACTTTTGTTCACTTGTCAACATTTGAATGGAATGCTTTTACTTTGGTCAATTGTGTTGTCAACTTTTCTTTAAAAAGGTTGAAGAAGGAAAAGTTGAGAAAAGGAAAGGAAAACATTATTTCTTCCGGTCATTCCTTGGGAAGAAATGTATCTCTTCACACCCTTCCGGATAGTCGGATAATGTTTAAGGATAGTTTACCTGAGTAAAGATTCGTGCTATGCTTACTAAAAGCATACAATTGTGAAGCTGATTAGTGCAATTTCTGTGCGTATTGTCACAACTGGACCAATGAAACTGGACGATGAGAGAGTGAAAGTCTTTAAATTGTTTCAAGTTTCTCTTTGTGTGAATAAGAAATGAAAATGAATCTCAAATGTAAAGACAAAAACAATGTTGGAATCAAAGATTACAATCAAAACAAGCTTCCACTCGCAATATGATTATCATTTAATTGAAACAAGTTGATGTTTAAAAAAAGCAGCTGACAAAGCAAAGCTAAAGAAAGAGTTGGTTACTTTGATTGGAATAGCTGAATCCAGTTAGTTATCATGATAATAAACAACAAGAATCAAATGAATAAGATTTAAAACCAATTAACTTGCAACCACAACAAGCCAAAACAAACAGTCAAATGAACGAAAGATGATGATCTAAATCATTTGCTTCTTAATTGAATAACTGGACAATTAAACAATAAAGAGGATCATCAACTGGCCAGTCTTAAATAAACCTGCAGCGATCAAATTGAAAGCTTCATCTTTTTTGTTTCCAATTCAATTTTAAACGTTAAATCAATCGAAAGGTGATCCATTAAACAGTTGAAAATGTTTAATGTAAAATCATCAATTTGTCTGGCAAATCAGTTGGAAAGGCTCAACACTTGGGTAATTAAAATTACGCAGAAAGCAAATTTAGATTCAATTAGTGAACCTTTAAAGACACTTAATCTATTTAAAGAGAGCTTGACCTTACTTCGGACCAAAGCAAAATACCTTTAATCGTAGATAGCCTTTTGGATACAACAATCAAGCCTTTTTTTCAATCAAGGCCAATTAGTAGGACAACAAAAGAGACTTGAAATTACGCGTTTTTTTCTCGTTAAATTGTATTTATGTGACAAAATATTAAAGTTAATTATTTTAATGTTAACAAAAAGGTTGCAACTGAAACACAAAGTTGCATGTTTATCATGCTCATCATTCATTCACTTCCTCCTGTTAGCCTTGTTTCCAGTTCTCATCATCACCAACATCATGTATTCAGCCATTTTTTGTCACCATTTATGAATCTTCCAAAAAAAACAATCTTAATTTAACTCAAAACCATTTTGTTTTGTTTTTCATTGCGTTTTCAAAGCTAAAATTGTTTTGCCGTTTCTGTATCCCAATTAACATTAATTAACAGCCTGTCCATATTAGCATGCCTATTATAATCATATTTTTTTACTATTTGATATAAACAATTGAAAACTAAATTTAGTTTCTATCATCACTGGCGTCATTTTGTTTAATAATGAGATTCTAATGGCAATAAAACATTGTTGACTTTTCATTTGAATGTAACTATTTTTTTTCTGGTCTACAGTTTCAAATAGATGATCATTTAACATTGAATTATGGTTAAATGAAAATTTGATGGTTTGGTGTAAAATAGATTGTGATTAGATATTGTAAAGGTTGTCACTATTTGAAATAATTTATTCACACTTGTTGATTTTGGCTGAAGGAAAGGGCGTTTAAGGTTAACAATTTGCTGATTGTCCTCGTTTTCATCTTGAATACAATCATATTTGTTGACACGAAATTGTTGTTTAACTGTTCGATATACACAATTTTAATCGTAAGCAAATCAATAGTCAAGTCAAGAGTCAATTCAAGTGTAAATGATCAATAATTTTGACCATTACAGACAATAATTTAGTGATGCTAATTAAAAGAATCTCTTTTTTTACAATTTCATTTCAGTCTAATTTCATGTTTCCTTATATTGCTGTTGAATGATAAGTTGTTTTTTTTGCTGGATTAAAGTAGTAAACTCTGAAAATCAGATCAACTATTAAATGATAATAATAGCAGGTCAACAACAATTCTGGTAAAGGCATTAACATTAAATAATAACGCTATTCGGGTGTGTGTTTTGTTTTATTTGTTTGTGTCCATTAAAACGGAACTGGTTAAGAATAGTGATTTAATATTCTGTATCAATTGTAAATTATCATGATTATTGCTTAATTTCACCTTAATTTAGTGGACATTGAAGATCAAAAGGTTGAAGCAGTAAAACCTAAAGGGTTTACAGACACTTTATGATTGAAATAGGGATTCCCATGAGTCGGTATCAGCTGGAGGTTGATAGTACATGATCATTAAATGGTCATTTGGTAAATATGCAAGAAGGTGAAGTGATGATGCTTGAAGATGATGAAGGAAAGGTGGATGAAAATGAGTCAAGACAAACAAGATCGAGAAGAAAGGTGAGAAATAAGTGCAACTGTTTCCTTAATAATGACACAAATTGTTGACAATTGTAATGTTAAACTTGACTGATCTCATTAAACACTGAAAAATAAACACAATAATTATGAAAACCACATTTGTCTTGATGAACACGGATTTAAAAAGGATTCACGATTAATGGGTTAAAGGTTGGCCTTGATTACTTATCTGCATCTTTGCAAAAATATAATAATAATAAAGCCTGTCTAATTGTCAACTTTAATGTTCATTAATACCGGAGGCAAATTTCCCGCTCTTTACAACCATCATTAAAAGACAGGCGCAAAAGGCAGGCAAACATGTCTGACTTTGATTTTAAATATGAGATTCGGGTTTATATTTAGACGCTTATTACCGTAATGATCTTATTGTTATTTAATTTAAATATGTGTTAATTATATTTCCAGCTGTCTAATAACATTGACAATCTTCTTTTCTCCTTAAATCATCATTAATCAGTTCAAAGTGTCAAAATTTACAGCTTTGGTTAAAGGTTTCCAACAGCTTTTTCTGGTTTCCATTGGTTTCGTTTGGTTCAAGTTTTATCGTTTTTCATCAACTTATTAATCTTTGGTTAAGTCAAGTCTCGAACAATTTGGCACTTGATAGGCTTGGAGGCTGATGCTTTTGATCTTAACCTATTCTTCATGTTTGATTGACGGTTCTATTCGCTGTGTATATTGCGCTTTCTGGTCAACTGGTAATAGCTGTTGGCCATTGGTCGAGATTCAACTGAGAGGATTAAAATGATCTAACAACCTGTAATCATTAGATGTCAAACATGAACATTAATCCTGACAATAGCTAATTGATGAATGTATTTAGCTCAATTATTTAATTGAATTACATTAGTTTACACTTGATGATGGTTCATCATGGTAAAGATTGAGTGTTCAAATGGTTTCAACGACCTGTAAATCTGTTGAATGTTAATAGTTTCCTTAGTTGAACGCTGTAATTAAAGTGGACAGTTGCTTCTGTTGCCTTCAGTTACGTGCTGCAACTAGTCGGTAGTTGACAAAAATGATGGTTTTGGTGATGTTTTCGTTGTACAAAATGAAGACGATAACAACAGGAATGGAGATAACCAAGGAAACATTTTTTCAAGCTGTTGGATTGCAATAACGGTTTACAATGGTTAACAGTTGAATCGCCTAAAACATGATGAAGATGATATTTGTTTTTCAACTTTCTCTAGGTCGATCTCATCGGAATTGAACTGATTGTCTTCCGTGTATTTAAACTGTTTACATGATGGTGGTGTTAATGAAGACCGTTTAATATTAAATATTCATAATAACCTGACGCGAAAAAACGAAAGGAAACATTTTGCTCTAATAATTGCTAAACTGTTCTCAACTTTCAACCAAAATGAAATGATTTAATATTTAATGGCTTTTTAAAATCTTAAATGGCACAAATTTAGTCACATAATTTCATAGGTTTGCTTTCATTTCAATTTGATTGCAATTTATGCAGAAAAGTTGATTGCATAAATTTACGGATCCCAAAAAATGTGATTAAAAATGAAACATTTTCACCATTTTCTGATTAACCTTAAAGCCAATTTAAATCTCATCAGTCCAGTTGATGAAAAATAATGATAAAATGAAACATAATTGTGGTTATGAAAAGATTGAATTCATTGGAATTACCTTCTTAACTTTCACTTTTGCAGTTAAGTTTATCATTGGATCGCTAAATGAAAAGCAATTTCGTGATTCAAGTAAATCCTGATAAAATGAGCCTTTAGCAGCAAAACAAGTTGATTTATTAAGAAAACAAATGAATTAAATAATCTGGGTTATCAACGGAACTGGTCAAATGCGGCAATAACAATAAACGGAAAATAAATTGTTGGATTTATCGTCTAATTATAAACCATTAATCGTTTCATCAAAAAAATGTCAAAATCAAAGTGAAAGTCAACTTGAAGACAACCAGCAAGCCACATTGACTCGGACGAGATGAATACAAATTGCGCCGATTGAATGTTTACCCATTTTACAATTAATGATTATTGATCAATTAAGATGATTTAAGGTTGGATAAAAGTTGTATCATGATAACAATCGGTGAAACACCTTAAGGATCACCTTTAATATTCATACGTAAACTTGCCCTTGATCATTAAAAATGGTTTGATTGTTGAAAGTTAACGGGTAAACAGGCATTAAAAGTGAGCGCACTTTATGCGTTATTATATTTTCTGTTATCACAATGATCAGATTAAGATTCTCATTTGATTATCATGATTATTGAAGAGGCAAACACAATGATGAGGATAAAAGATGAACATGAAAGTGTAAACAAGAAGACATTTTGAATGTTAACAGACAAGAGTGCAAAAGGGTAACACAGATTGATTGTTTAAAGGTTGATGGTCATTACAATTTGATGATCTTGAATCATTATGTAAATCAGTTTTAATAAAGGTGCGCCTATTAGCGTTTGTTTAAACAGTGAAATTTCCGGTCAACAAGCAATCAAACAAAAAAAACGATCTGATTAACAATGTAGTTCAACTCATAATTTTTGTCTTTCAAGTTGAATTGTTATATTCATTGACAGCTTACAATTGATGGTGATCAAACAATGTTATTAATCATTTCATTTAATCATCTAAATGGCTTTTACTTATCACAAAATTTAAAGTAAATATTTTTGCTGCAATTTTAATTGTCCATTTTAAGTGTTACCTTCAATTGTTGTTTAAACATTATTAATATATCATTGCATTCGCATAGTATTTTGTCAATAATAAAGACATTTCTCTAGTGGCGACCTTAATTGTTGGAATAATTAAGGTTCCATTAGACTAACAATTGACTGTAAATCATCTAATTATTTAGCAAAACAATAAATCATTAAACACTATTTTTATTGGCTAAGGAAAGGTCAATGTCAATGGAAGTGTTTTTTATCTCAAAGATCAATATTTCAGGCAAAATTTTGACCAGAAATTTGAATAAATTTGAGACTTTTCACAATTTAATTTCAATTCTGAATTCAAATTGTCAAAGTTTTCAAAATTCTGTTGTTCGTTTATTGATTCAATCTATAAATTGATTTGAAAGGTTTGACTAAAGAGGAACAATTTGAAACTAGAAATTGATTTGAATGCGTTTGGTTTAATTGTGTGTTCAATCAATTTTGATATGCAAAACTCAGGGTTGGTAATTGATTAGTTGATATGCAGGGTTATCAAGGAGAGCAATTGAGCAAAGTTGATTGTTACAATTGTTACAACTTTAACCAAACACTGAATCACAATACAAGTTTAATTCAATTTGACAATGTTATCAATCATTTCAGAAGAAAGTTGACAAATCGAAGTAAATCAATTCATTGCCATCATCACAGTTAATTGTGTTGAAAGTAAACTGTTAATTTTGTAAATAAAAGTTGAATCGTTAAAATAATTTTTTCTAATTTGCTCAAACTTAATGAACTTCTAGCCATGAACCATGAACGTATCTTCATAGTCCAAGAAACTTGAATTTGATGGTTTCAAAGAACAAATGATTTGTTGTTAATCAACTAGATTTTAATCAATTGTTGTAAAGCAATTTAACTTCCTTAATTCCTTATAAAAAGAAATAACCTTTTCTCTCATTTTTTGATTGCAAACGATTTCAATCTAAATGTTTCATTTAATCACAACAATAATGATGAAAAGGAGAAAACAAATTTACCTTAATTCACCTTGATTTGGGTGAAATTGTGTGTTCCTATTCATGAAAACAACAACAAAATAATTTCTTTCTTTTAAACAACAATCTAAATGAGAGTGAAAAAGTTAATCAAGAGGTCAACCAAGGCTGGGCTACTGATCATGAATCAACAATCATTTGTCAATTTGTTGGTCAATTGGTTAATCAATTGAGGCTCATAAATTGATTCATATTCATATTTGAATAATCATTTCAATTAGCAAAATATATTCATGAAAAGTAAATAAAATTGATTGGAGAAAAAACGGAAATTTCAATAAATGAATATTAAATATTGATTATTGATTTCAATTCAATTTACAAACGATCGAAAGTTTATTTAATTAAAGTTATTGATGATTATCCGATTACAAGGATTAAGGAATCAATCAAATGATAATCTTTAATTGTTTCAACTTGCTTTAGTTGTTTCATTGCAACTAATATTGAAAGTTGATGAAATTAAAGGTAAAATCAATGAAAGGTAAAAGCTGAGAAATGTTAATAACTTCCGATTAATTAAAGTTGATGGTAAAACTGATTTAATCACCAACCAAGAAATGATCTAAATTCATCTTCTTTTCCAATTTCAATCTGGATTCTGAAAATATCGTTTCAAAGATTCCATTGTTGATTCAAGTAAAATAATCAACATTTTAATTTAAGAGTAATGAAAATGGTCAAATATGATATTAAGAATCAATCGTTTCATTCAATCTAACAATTCATTTGGAAAAAAGTAATTGGTAAAAAACGTTTTCGCCATTTAAGCCCATAATGATGAAGATGATAAAGATTACTCATTATCTTCATCTTTAATCATCAGACATCATCAGGTCAAAATTGGTGCTTCATTCGGTTCCGTTTACAACGAATCAAGTTGATTCAATAAACCAATTTTTCGTCCAAACCACTTTTCCTCCTTTTTTTCTGGTAACATTGTTTGGGAAAAAAGACATTTGGATTGGTCAATGAGATGGAAATGATTCAGACTGAACATGAATAGTTTCACTTTTTGGCCATTTCTCGAAATTTGATACTTTCGTTAACAATGTTTCGATTGTTGCACCCAAAGTGTGACTAGTGGGTGTTGATTGGTCAACATTAATTGACCAACACTCCTTCAATGTTTTTTTCCGAAAAATGATATTTTCTTTTTCTTTTTCAAATCTTTACATAATCATGAGGTTACAAGCTCAAGGGTGTTACTGAGCTTTTATGAAATTCAATATTGAAAAGTTGATAGCAAAACAATAATCAATAAACTATTTTGCTTTTCATTAAACTTTCTTTGCTCTCATTAACCAGCTATTAATTATTAATATTGATCAGTATTTTGGTTGTTGAGCCAAAAGGGTAAAAATTTCAATCTTGCAATTTACAGGCTAGTGAATCAAATAATTGTTAATTATTTGAATTGTTTCAAACCTTAAAATTGGCAATAAAAAATGGTCTCTTATATAAAAAATTGGCAATCAAGTTCATTGTTTCATTTGGTTGCAAATTGTAATTGTATCACAACAATTGATAGACAAATGTTTCCAATGATAACGTTGATTGAATGTGATGATTGGGAATGGATATGAAAAAAAAACATTGTAATTGAATTGATATTAATAACATTAATGATGTGAGAATAGATTGATATGTAAATCTATTTTTAACAATCAATAATGATATTAACATGATGATATTAAAATAATAAAGTCAACTGATTAACACTTGATTCATGGTAAATTGACTGTTTGATCGGATTAATGGTTCAATATAAAAAAGTGGATTAGCATTATTTGGACAACACTGATGATAATTTTACACTTTTGGGTTTGAACCCATTTTGTTTGTAGCTTTTCTGGTTACTTGAGATGCTATGTTTATACATTATTTGGACAGATTAATGGTTGATCAACTTTAATTTGGTCAATCAATCTTTTTTTTTGTTTCTCTACTAATATTACAATTGTTAATCTTGATACTCATCATTTGTTGTTTCAAATTGTTGGTTCTTCCGTTCAATTTAGATGTTTTTGTTTACTGAAATGCTGCTGTTTAGCATGTTGATTAGGATGGGAGATAAAGATGAAGCCTAACAAATGGTTATAATATTGAAACGTTTGCATTGTGATTACTTTTAATGGTCACATCAATTGCTACTGGATAACAATTGATTGATGTACTAAGGTAAATGTAATTGAGATGATTGAAAGAAACAAGAAAACAAATGATTATCATTTGAATAATATGATGAATCAAGATGAAATGTAATAATAATGATAATTTCTGGCTTGAATTAAATGAGAATCTGATCCATTTATTGGAATGCAAAAAATATAACAAATCAAGATCAAACTGCATTATTATGAGCTATCTGTGTCTATTTTGAGGGTCAATTTTAAGGTAATATTTGAGCAAAAAATTGATTTAATATCAATGTTAAAGCTTGGTAAACCATGAATTGGGTGTGTAAGGGGAAGACACCTCAACTTTCCCTCTCCACAACCAATCACCAATCATCTCATGTTTTGCAGCAATCTATGTAATTTAAATCTAGTTTAACTGAAAACAAGAAGCTGTTTCCTTTTCCCCTTTTGTCTAGACATAAATAAGGTAAGGTAACAACAAACAACAGTCAGTCATAGTGAACCCAAAATCCATGATTGTTGAATCCTTCCAATCAGTTTAGCTATACCTACACATTTCCTCTTACAGTTCCTCTTATATTGCTTTTCATGTTAATTCAAGTATATCAATAAAATTCAATTCAACCTAATTATTCGGGTAACCTTTGTTTACCTTTGGTGTATCTGATCTCTCTGTTCCAGAAGGTTATCTTTACGGTTAACAGAGCTTCAGCATACGAACAGATTCTGTGTGGTGATTCACTATCTCTTATCCCCGGTGAAACACTTACAGGTGAAAGTCGAGTTGAGACAAGCAAAGTTCATATTTTAAGTCTCTAACTTGAATTACCAGAATTGTCAAGACTAGTTGGTTTCTATGCCGATTTAGATCAAATTTCAAAAAATTTTGTTAGATAAATGACTCGAATTGGCTGATATAAGGCTAATTAGTCGATCTGTTGGTTGTCCTTTGAAAATTAGATGTAAAAATGTTTAAGGGTTGACTTACTTGACAAAGTTGACCTTTTGCTGCGATGATTACAATCCTTTAGATGATTTGTTGAGGAAGGTAAAGCTGGTTCCCTTAAATGAGACAAATTGTTGACTAGAACATTAATATCCTTTTGGTTTCCATGATTTTCCTGTGGTTCAATAAATTTGTTGGTTTCACTTGTAGTCAAATGGCAACAACACAGTAAACCAATGGAGATGATGAGTTGTTGATAAATCATCTTTTCAGTCTTTTAACTGCCTTAATCAACTGTTAATGTGTTACTATGTTGTTAGTTATTCATTGTTACTTTCACTGGTTACAATTGAAAATTTGGTTCATTTAAATCGGCAAACTTTGTGAAACTGTTGCTTCTCCAACTGAACTTTCTTTCGTCCATTTTTTCTCTCTCAAGAATTTTTTATTTTAAATCAAATTTTTTTTATTTAATTCTATGGCTGCTCCATCTAGCGGTAAATTTTTCAACTATTGTCAGATGTTTCGTCTCAAGGTTTTGGTTATCCTTGAGATGTTGCTCTTTACAAATTAAAGTTTAATTATTGAATTTGTTTTTGTTTGTATTGTTTTTTTTCTGGTCTTTTGATTGACTTAGATTAATTATGTCGATCTTTAGTAAATTGGCTTCATCTTTTGTTCGACCTCCTTTATCGGTCATGAAAACATTTGGTAGACTTTCCCATGGACGTAACATGCCTATTGAAGGCACTAGTTTTAATTGGTACAAGACAATGGATATGATCCATTTTTATGCTTGGATTGGAATTTTGACCTCTTTTCCCATTATTATTTATGTCAATTTGACCCATGGTAAGTAAAAGTTTCAGTTTTCATTATAATTATCATTGACAATTGTGATTTGTACTCTTTTTTTCGTAAACAGCACCAGCTGAGCTTGCTGATATACCAGAAGGTTATGAACCTCAATATTGGGAATATGAAAGGCACCCTATTAGACGATTTCTGGCAAAGCATCTATATGGTGATTACAGAGTGCATTATGAGAGGCATCTCACTGAACATTACCTGGATCGAGAGGAGGAATTTATGTACAGATTCAAGGATAGGATTGAAAATATTATGAGGAAAAAGCAAGATTCAGCGTCTTGGTTTTATGTGCCAATTGATCAAGCTCCGAGCAGAATTATGCTTTCTGATAGACAACGGTTTGATGAGGAAGCTCTTATTCAAGGTCCACCATTTGGTTACCATCTAACACAACCAGACCCTGCACCTGATTTCCCAGGAGTTAGCGAACCCAAAAAATTCTTGTCAAGTAATCCATTTGATAAAAAATAGAGAGTCGACTTTTATTCTTCCCCTTTGGATGGTAAGCCATCAATTGTGATTACAATCATGATTAATGGTATTTATTGCTTAGAAATACTTTGTTTTCTAGATTATCCTCTTTAAAATAATAAATTATATGCAAAAGGCATATCTCAGCAAGCAATGTTGATTTTTCTCCTTTTGTTTATCAAAATAGATATTATACAACATTTTTACTGTGGTTAAATTAATGAGATTAATCAGGCAATGAGAAAATTGTGATCCATAATTGATTGAATCTTAAATAATGATCTAGAAATAATGAATTGTTCCTAGACTTTAATTGATTGAAAAGCAAGACAAATTCATTGCCCTCCAAAAAATAATATCAAGTGTTATTATATCTTATTAAACTTGTAACAATTGGATTGGTTATTACAGCCGATTATTGATTGTTTATGTTTCCAAATACTTGACTGCATAATGCGTCCAACTTCTGCGATTATAATGGTAATGAACAGGTTTACCAATTGTTTACGAAACGACCCTAAAGTTTGATTTACTTCAACATTATTTGTAGATTAATCACAATCATTTTCAAGTTTATCATATTGACAAATTCAAGTAGTAATCAGTTAGTAATTAAATAAGAATCGGAAATAATTTCAACAAAAAATAAGAAAATGAAACAATTTGTGGTAACATGGTTCATTGAGTTGAGTAATCAATCCATCTGCAGCACAAGATAATATATTCAATTGAAAATGACTATTCTTAATGACGATGATAATAATCGTACAAAAAGCTCAGTTAATTCAAATAATCCTTTAATTGGGTGAAAACAAATTGGTTTAAAACGGAGCGTTGAGCAGGAGAAACGGAATAAGGTATAAAAAACGCGATCAATAATTTTAATTATAATGGTTACAATAAATATACACATATTATATAATTAGTCTAGAATAACTTGACTATGAATCAAAATTAACAGAGTTTATCAACACAAATGATGATAATCAGATTTGAATGTCGCACAATAAGAGAGAAGGTAATTTTGTGGGTAAACAGCTGATGCAACCAGATTTTTGCTGCATTTTCATTAAGCATTGTTTTACCTCTTCTTGATCATTCAGTTTGTGAAATTGTTAATTTTATTATTTACTTTTGTGCTTCTCAATCAATAATATTGTAATCAACTAGCTACTGTACAAACAATTAATTATTAAATTGAACAGACTAATAATGGCAAATGTGACTATGCGGCGCCAAATCTCTTATCATGTACCTAAAATTACGAACCAGCGTATAAAATCCAGGAGTATGTTTATCTCCACATTGATCATAGGCACCAGAGACAAGTGCAATCAAATAGAAACGATTATTGTTTGGATTTAAATACATCAAAGGACCACCAGAATCGCCTTGGCAAGCATCACCACCAGTGTTACCATCAACAGCACACATGTGATTTTCATGGATAGGCGGGATCTTGTATTTTTCCGGATTCCGTCGTACAATAGCATAATTTGAGTAAATATAATCTTTAACCATCTCGTAACATTTGCTATCTAAAAAGGTGAAAAAACAAATTATTTTAATTATTTTTCTTTCCTCTTCACAGTGCTTCTTATAAATTACGGTTTATAAAATCGTCTGATGGATTCTTCCAGTCTATTGTATCAAAAGTACTCATGGGATTAAATTTCAAACAACTTACTTCTAACATGGTAAACGTCAACGTGTTGTAACGTTTTTGCTGTTTTCTGGTTTGGACCTAAATGACCCCATCCTGCAACTCTCAATTTACGATATGGTTCGTCATCACTTTTGGGTATACAAATGGGAGATATTTTGTCATTGAATTTAACTGGTTTGACTAATTTGAGAATGGCAAAGTCATTGTGAACCGGTCGAGCGAAGTTGTAATTTTTTGGAAGGATAAATTTCTCCACACGGCGAACCTTCGGAAGATGATATAAATTATGAGCTCCTAGATAAACATGGACAGCGTCAACATTCCTTGGATTACCAGATGCATCGTGGACACAATGAGCTGCTGTGATTATGTGCTGATGATCAATCAATGAACCACCGCATAAACCATATTGCGTTGAACCAACATGATCATAGAATCTGATGAAAATTAAAGAGAAAATCCAAAATATAGAATCATTTAATTCACATAATTGGGTTAATTAGTGATTAAAATACAAGGTCCAAACCAGTCTCTTTGGATTTAAAAGATGTGACAAGGTTTAACATTATTTGACCTCACTTTCACACATTTTTTATTGTAAAATCGTCTTTTTAACCCCTTCAAAGATCATTATTTGTGAAAATTAAATCGAGTTAATCATTAACCTGATATTCATCGCTTTGTCTCTTAAACTGCCAAATATATTGACTATTTCCCCTTCAGATTTTAAAACATCAGTTGTGATTACAATCATGATTAATGAAAATTATTGATTTGAACTTTTGTTTCTAAATTATTCATCCCATGTAATTAACACAATCAAAACATCATCACATCATCTTCCTTCAATTAATCAACTGGATAAACCAAACCAAGATTTAAACGGAGAATTGCCGAGACAAAATCAATCTTCTAGAGAGGAGCAATTTTTGGAATTTTGGATGAAAAAAGGAACATAAAAGCCTAGAAATGAGCCATTGCTCCAGCAATGAATATTGATCAACACCTAAATCCATCAAAGTGATTCAATGTTTGAAACAATTTACCAAGTCTAAATCAATTTTGAAAATGGATATTTTGATATTTTTAACATTATTGGTGATCACCATTTATAAGGTTGACATGAAATGTTACCTGAATTGTCTGATAGCTGATAGATGGGACAAGAGACGAAGAGATATGGTTTGTGGTTGATATCACCGTTTTAGATTGGCTGTTGTTTGAATGACCATTCGAATTATTAGAAAAATCTTGAGTATGAGAAATTTCTCTTGGCAGGTTCAATGATGATTTGGTTACGGGAGATGATTCTGTCACATTAATGTCTGGTCTATTTTGACTTTTGCTGTAATTATCACTGTTATCTTAATGATTTTCAATATTGATTGTATTGTTAGAAGAGTCGGTGTCCCATTTACAGTCACATTTGAAGTGCAACTAGTTGTTTTGGTGGGACTATCACCAGTAATTTGGATTTTTTCTGAGCCAACACCGTTACTAATAGTTAAATTAGTTGATCTCAGAGAGGTTAAATTGTCAGTAAAGTTGTTTATATGTTTATAAGTTGATTGTTTAGGTTTCAACTCTTCACTGAGTATTAAATTTTTAAGCTTAACTCCATGGGACTTTTTCAGACTATTTCTTGTTGTAAAAGACGAGAATGATGAGATGGAAGCGGATGAGGTCAACTTTGGAATGGAAGCCGATGATGAGCAGCTGATGAGTGATGAAGATGATGATGGAGAGGCATCGTGACAGAAAGCATTCAATAACCAAGCCAATTGAAGGCTGAATTCAGGACAGGAGCGGCAACGGTTAATAAAATAAGGATGCAAAGCATCAGCTACATCTGAATGGTTTATATATAAAACAACCAATTGGGGTAAATAGAAGTCAACATCAGCTTCTTCAAATGTAAACAAGCGATTACCAATGTAACTCAATACACCAGGTTCCTTTGATTTAAATAAATAGTTGATAGCCAGGGACATCTCGAACAGACGAGATTGGAATAATCTTAGCAGCCAAGAACCGTTGTCCATGGTTGTCAAAAACCCAAAAAAATATAATATAAATGTTACCTGAATTGTCTGATAGCAACTCTGGATCATTAAAATCACTTAAATTTGCATGAATCAAAGATAACAATCCAAAGTCAGGCAACAATTCAAGTCGAGACCATAAAAAGCCATGGAAATGAACTTACATTGAACAAAGATAATGAACTGTGAAAATTGAAGCAAACAAAAAACGACAAAACTGACAAAACGAAAATTTCCATCATTGATTTACATCTCGGTGATCTGAATAGTAAACAATTTGATTTACGATGTAAAAGTAGATTGAATTATTGAATTGCTAAAATGGCCAATCAATTGACAATTTGGTAAACAAAGTGTTTTGAAATGTTGATATTGAAAAGTGTATAAAGAGCAATTGTCGAGCAAACTGTAACAATCGACTCAATCTTGAACTTGACCAGACGCATTTAATTGTCGACTAAAAATATATAAAAACACTGAATCCATTGAAATTGCAACAAAAGTGAAAGGTGAAAAGTGAATAGTAAATCATGTAAATCGGAAAATTGGATCACAAAATTGCCCAATTTTACCTCATTGTTGGACTACAAATTAACCAGTTTACCCAAATTAACTGTAAATTGTATGTAAAAGCAAAAAATTGTTACACCATTAACCAGAATAGGTTGACAGTTGGTTGAAAAGGTAAAGTGAAAAGTAGATTACAAAACCTTTCAATTTACCATCAACCATGATATTGATATATGAATTTCATGAATTTCCATTTTTCTTTCTTTCCCTGTTCTCCTCATCAACTGTGCAACTGTTTCGATTCAAGTTTAACTCATGAATGAACTTGGAAAAATTTGGAACAGACAAGTGTAGAGAAAAGGAAAAGAGTGATGAATAAAATGATGAAAAGAAGAGTGAAAAGAATGGAAGAAAAAATGTAAAGAGAAAAAGAAAAATTTTTTCTCTTCAAATTTTCAATCTTTTCCAATCTCAACAGTTTCCAGGAAAAAATACAAATCTGAATGAAACTTTTCAACTTTACAGAGAGAAAGGAGAGAAAAAAAGACAAGCCTTGAACTGAATATCTTTGGCTTATTATCAACTAGAAATGAACCTGAAAAGCAGCAAAAAACATGATCAAGATAATATTTCATATTCAAAAATGTGATTGAAAATTTTGTTTCAATGTTCCAAATTTCATTAATTCTTTCACTCATAATTCACCTTTTACATTCTTTGCACCAACAGAGCAACTTGGAGTAATCAAAGAGATGAAGGAACCTTTTGTGGAAAAAGAAAGATTAATTTCACGATATTCTCACCTTAAATGAGCCATCCATGGATATTGATTATGATAAGTTTCATTTCCTCCAAAAACTCGCCTTTGAATTCCTGTTCGTCCACAATCTGATAGAGAAGTTAAACAACAATATAAACTTTGATTGGCAACTTTTTTCACCACCAAATGTCAACCCTTCAAGTTGACAATTGAAATTTTGGAGAAACTCAAAGAATCGATATTTTTACAAAAATCACTGAAATAAGGAAAAAAGGAAAAACGAAAACCTGGAAAAGGCCAAAAAATCGATAACTTACCACATCGCTCATAACAGTGGATGAAATTGACCAACGAAAGGATGATTGGAATGGTGAGAATCGTGGAAATTTTCATGATGGAAAACGGATGGAAATGAACAAAGGACTGAAAATGGAGAAACGAAGTTTGAGATGAAATGAAAATTCACTTTAACTGGTAAAAAGTGTAATGGCAAAGAAACATTTGATGGTAACAGTTGACGCTGGTTTGCCTGGTTAGTCGGGTAAAGATGAAGTGATGAACCAATTCAATGTTAACTTCCTATTGGCATTAAATTTCAAAGTCAAGGCTGGTTATTGAATTGATCGAGTCGACATTTTGGACCAAATGATCTTAAAACATTGGATAAAACTGTACATTGGAAACATTGAAATGGATAATGAGAGACAAACTGTTGAACCAGTTTAACACAAATTTGCTTTCCTCAAATGTTCAACCTTTTTTCGCCTCTTTTCTCATTGACAAAGTTAACCAATTTGATTACAATAATAATAATAATACTAATAATGATAATGGTTATAAACACAAGATCAGGAACGCCTTTAAAAGACCGCGAAATTGCGTTCGCTTTTTGCGTTTTCCAACTTAAACAGTGTTACAAGAGCAGCAAATTTATTCATTATTAAACACTTTCACTCATCATGAATAGATGAACCGGAACCTAAACAATTTTTTTGGGGTTCCTTAATTTTCTCCCTTTTCCTCAACTTTCTCTTCTCGTCAACTTTAACCTAAAACCTCCAAAATTAAGGCTTTTAGGGCGACAATTACCTTGATTTGTTCATTTGATTATTTACTTTGTCTAATCTTTTCCAACTCAACCTTTGCTTTTGTTTTAATCTTGAATATTTTGGACAAAATTTACTTTCATTTTTCATCATTTTCACTTGTCATTTCATTGTTCAACTTATTGATTGAGAAACGACATTAAGATTAGTCTCTAAATTAAACTAATTTTCAGTTTGAATCGTTTAATTTGCTCATTTTGACACCAACCAAACAGACCGTGATCTAAATGAGACTTGTTTTTTTCATGTTACCTTTAAACACTTAATTGTTTATATCCTCAACATTAAGCTTATCATTTATGTTATAATCAATATTTAGTTTATTTATTCATCAACCTTTTTGCCTTTTGCTGCCTTTCAAATGGATGACAATTTGTTGACATTTTGTTTACGGAAGTTTTTTGCACCAACTTTCACCTAAAAAGATATTAATTGAACTACTTTTTAATCAATTTTCACTTTACAATTGCTGTTGATTGCTAAACAGATGTAACTTTCATTTTCATCCAGTTACACTTGGTAATCAGACTGATTCAAGGTCTTGTGGTGTTGATCAATCATTAGACACAATTTTAGAATCGCTTTGCATCAGTTTATTCAAACTCGCAAGCTGTCAACAGACAAATCAGGTTAACTAACATTGAAAACTGTTGTATTGAATTTTGCAATTTATAATCATTATTTGGGGAAAACTATTGAGTAATGTTAATTTATCGTTGAAACTTTGTCCTATCGATATTTCTAAGGTAAAGCAATGTTCGATTTTTCCTCTTTTCTCTCGGAATATCATTTTTGATTACATTTTTCCTCGTGTTTCAATCAAACAACAAAAATCTCAAATTGGTGACCTGTTACTAGTCAGATGGTTATGCTTTGCTGGACAATTTAATTCTCGATAAAAGACATTTTATAGAGATTAGGTCATTTAACTTCACATGGTCACCAACTGGTAATGGTCGGTAACGGTCAAAGTAATCCTGATCACCTCAAAATGGTTCAAATATTATCGACTATGAGTTTTCCATGCTTTCCGATAATAGTACCAAGTCAACATGTCTACTTAAGAGCTGAAGCTCACCATAAAGGCCATGCCTTACTAAATTTCAGCATTTCTTGTTTCGTTCGTGAAATGATACTAAAAATCGTTTTATCCTAGAGTGCAATTGTGGTCAAGCTCCCCGAACATGGATTTTTGATGTAGTCTTCCATAAAATGAAGTTTCTTTTAGCATCGAACGAGAGTCGATTCTTTCGCAGCACTTAAGCTTTTGCTTGAAATTTTACATTGGAATGAAATGAATGATCTGAGAAGGCAAAATTTTAGTCCAAGATCTTTTAATGTTTTGATAATGATTAAGTTTGGATTCAGTCAACTATTATTTATCATTATTTCATTCAGCAATAAAAGTAAACTTTAAAAATCGAAATAAAAATCACAAAATTTATTATACTTTCTTAACCAAATGGCTTTAGTTTTAAAATGTCATTTCAACATATCCAAAAACTATTAGCATTTTAAAATAAAAATAGCTCATGCAGAAGCCCAAGGAAGGCAACTCATCAGATGCCATAAAATCACTTCCAACGAAAAGTCATTTCCAAATTACTTTTCGTTCGTAGAAATTTTTGATCAATAAGAGGTTCCACCAAAAGATGGCACTAACAACTGGGAGTAAATTTCATGTGCGATTATCTCGAGTTTGCTGTTATTTAGTTGCACAAGTTTACATCAACTCAGTTTTTTCTTTGAATCGTGTGTTGCTCTTGTATCTACTTGTGTATCAACCTGTAAAGTTTGCTCTTCTGTATGAATTATCAGTTGAACATTGAATGCTTTTAGCATCTAATGGACAAGAAGGGAAAAGTAACGAAAAGAAAAGTGAAAAAGGAAAGAAAATTAAAGTAATAGATAATAATGTTAACAAGGAGAAGTCTAATAATGATATTGAATAATCTGATGTTGAATGTGATAATAGTGGTGATGATGATGGTAAAGAGCGTGAAAAGATGATTTCATGAGAGAATCCAGTTGATAAAAGTGAAGAAGAAAAAAAAGTTTGACTAAATTATCGTTTAATGTCCATTAATGTTATCCAATTTTACTGTTGAACAAGAATGTTGATGATGAAGGAAAGTTGAGAAAAGCATCGTAAAATGACCTTTAATTTGTGATCGACTCTTCAATTTGCATCGATAATGGTTTACACTTGTGATGTCAACTGTTAATTGTGATGAATATTGCGTGTCTGTGTCTTGATACAATTGTTTCATGTAAAGGAAAAGAAAATGTTTCATTTCTTTTATCCTTTAACCGGAGTAAATTGTTTCATCTTTACTCTCAATAGATACACTTGATTAGCTCTCCATGTTTTCCATGTGTAAATCCATTTGTTTGGTACCATTGTGATTGAAACAGAATGGAAGATTCAATGGAGGAAATGTTTAACCATTCGAGTTATGATAATTTCAATGGATCAACACTTGCATCCGATAATCCATCTTCATCTTCACCTTCCTCATCAAATGCTCTGTTAGTTTCAATTGGACAAAAGTTGTATTCCTTTAGAGATCAATACAGTCCCATCCATGGATACCTTAGTTTGTGCATCTGTTTCTTTGGAACAGTCACTAATATACTCAACATTATTGTTCTGACAAGGTAAATGCTTTAAGAATTTAACTTCTAATCGAAACGCTAAATTTGCATTCTCTTCATCCTTTTGTGTTTGCAAGTTTTGAGTGAATTTTGAGTTTCTTATTTATGGTTAAACTTGCGGCTTTTGAAATAACATTGCAAACTTAATCGAAGTAAATGATAATCGAAATGTATTTTGATGGCGATTCTGGTCAAAGTGAGTTTATCAATAGTTGATGAACCTTGAAAACTTAATGAAGCTCGAACTTGGATTTTGCACAAAAGAAGTTGAAAAGTCTTTGAACTATTCAAAGTCAACGATTCGATCTTGTATTTCTTATAAAAATGCTTCTCTTCAACTTTTATTGTAGTTTTACGTCGAACTTTCACATTCAATTGCTTTCGTCAAACGATTTTCGTTTCTCAACCTTAGTTGTGTAACCAAATGCATATTTTTAATTGCATCGTTAATTTATTCAATGATAAAAATCAAATTTCACTTTGCTTCATAAATAGAGAATTTCTTCTCCAATTTCAACTGGAATTTTGCTCTTCAGTCAAAATCATTCTTCTGCTGTCTTTGACTGTCAAGTTACATGATCGTTCATGATGACATTCACAATTCTGCTTTGCATCTTCTTCGAATGCCCTGGAAACATAATTGAAATATGATTTTGAAACCATTAAGCAACAAGCCGACAGCAATTTTTGTGAAATAAAAGTTGAACAAGAACATCTCTTGAAAGGTATTGCAAAAAAAGAATAAGACACAAATTTGGACAGTTTGAGTGAACCTTGATTCAATCAGTTGAGTGGAAATTGAAATTTATACATTTTGTATATCATGCAGGTTTAGCAAGCTCAATAGGTTGAGTATTTCTCGTCAAGAGTAATCGTCTAATGATGCTAAAACTGAGTAATAAATCTAATTTTCTGTTTATTTTGTTGTATTGTTTACCGATCTCAGGCTATTAGGACTTTAGTTTGTCAGTAAATTTGATTGCTCGAGATGTAACTCAGTAAATGTTAAACTTATCTCCGGAAATTGACCACACAAGTGATTTGAAATAATTTACAATCGTATTTCATTCCATAATTGTACGTAGGCAGATCAATGACAATAAAAACAGAATCAAGAAAAGGTCTACTGCAAGTTGATCCATCAATCTTGTTTTTAGTTTACTTTGCAAATTTACTCATTCAAGTCCAAATAAACATTCAGGTTTCCCTCATCCCTCACTCAGGTTATTGTATCCATTCTCGTCGATAGAAGCAAATCAAACAGATTTCATCAATTCATGCAGACCACTTCAGGTTCAAGCTTGGTTAGTTGACATTAAGGGTAAAAAATAGAATGTTCAAACTAGCGGAATAAACCTTTATTAATGCACATTTGATTTTCGAATGGACTTGTAACGTGTCTAGAAATTAGTCAAGATAGTTATGACATTGCTTATTAATGAGAATCGAATGGCTTAACTTGGTGAACATTTTTAGAATGGATTTGTGAACAAACGAATTTGAGTTTGCTATTTTGAATGGACCAACAACTCTCTATCAAATTAATTTACACTATTTCTTATAAGAAACTGTCATTGATCAAGTCGAGTTTTCATTTCCAAGTCAATATTCAAAGCTCATCAATTAGTCTTTCTCCTTGTATGGCTGTACAAATCGATCTTTAGGCATAAAGTTCAATTTCTTGTAACATCCGTGCATAGATTTCTTACTAATTGCTAAACTTAAATCTGACAGTTCTTAGTAGCTCTAGTTTCTTGAAAATCGCAAACATTCTAAGTCTTTGCCATACTGTCAACCCTACTAAATGTGTTTACTTTGACTGACGGACGAACCCACGAGACACCAAGAACCAATGGTTTATAAAAACCGCAACGAGTTCCTGGTATGTTCGGCTTTGAATGTTTCATAATCATATTTAGAAATCTTGAGACTGTGAGTCGAGACAATTGTTCAAAGAAACTTGACATTCTGAAAGGCTGACGAAGTGAGTGTTGAATTTTTACTGTAAATTGTGAGTTTACAAGAGTCTGGAAAGATTCGTGCGTTTAAATTGTGATACTTTGAAGTGTCCAATGGAATGTCAAGTTGAAACAATATTTTCTCATTCATGTTTGAACTAAAGATGAAATTGCAACAATCTCTTATAATTTAATTTAGTCTGTTCACCCTGTTAACCCATCTTTTAATAAAACTAAAGATGATGAGAAAACAAAACGTCAACTTAAGTCCATCTTGTCTGTTTGCCTGCCATTAATGTGCTCAAACCCCTTTTTTGGCTATCTATTAATACTTTATGAATACATTGAATCTCGTAAAGATGTGTGTTTCCATTGCATTTACCCACTTTCCTCATGTTTGGATGATATTGTATCTGAATCTAAGTTCTTGTTCACCTCGTTTCGTCTAAATTATAAGCAGAGTAAATATTACATGACAGTTTTAATATTATTGTTGAATCTTATTAAGCATTTTTCATTGTGTCCACATCAGGGCAAACATGATAATGTTTACTTAATGTTGTTGCATTAATAAATAATGGAGTAAAAAATAATGGACGAAAAGGCGCAAGAGACAAAAAAAGAAGAAACGAAAAAATCAATTTTCGTTGAAAGCAGCGAGTTTCAACTTTAAGTTGATTACAAGCAATTGTTGAGAGTTACTCATCAAACAGCAAATTAAACATCATGTTCAGTAAACCGCAGTTTTCCCTGTTATTCAAATGAAATGCTTTACATGATAATTTATATTAATGTCATTTTACCATTTGTTTGCTATTTAAAGTTCATTTCACATTTTCCCTGGAATTGCTCATTTCTAATGTTTTCATTTTCGTCCAACTTTTTTTCTGGCAAAACTGAAACTCTCAAGATTATCAGATTAATCAATAACTTTGTACTCGCTTCTCTAGATTAATAGGTTTTCAAGTCGACACAAAATTGACTTTAATCTCTCGAGTTTTCACAAACATTAACATCGATATTGAAACATCTTGCAATATCAAGTTTCAATGAAATGCAATTGTTCAAATGTAAATATTTATCATCAACAGGTTTTCCAAGTTGAACAACTTTTTATTCAAACTTTTTTCATGGGTCCGAATTTCTTCTTTTACATTTTCAATTTGATTCGAGTTTGGAAAATCTCAACATTGAAATAGAATTTTAATTCCTTAAAGAAAAAGTCGAACATTTTCCAACAAAATGTCCAACAAAAGATCAAATATCGAATAGCCTTGGATAAAGATTGTTGTGAATGTTGTTTTCGATTGAAATCTTTAATCGAAATTGTTCCAAACTCGAGTTTTGTACAAATTCAATAATATTGAAAATGTAAAGTTAATGAAGCAAAAAGTTTTTGACTCTTTTGTAAACTTGGAGCTTCTTTTTTTGTCAAGTCTTTTGTGCTTCCTCGCGACTCGAAACATGAAATCATCTTCAAGCAACAGGTTGAATGAAGAATGAAAAAATCAGAGAATCTCATTTTACACCAAATTGAATTCATTAACCTTATCCAAGTCTAATCAAAGTGAAACCCATTCTCATAATCACCATGAAGGAAGATAATTGGAAATGAAAATTTGAACATCGAGTAATTCAATATCTTGAAGGTATGAAAATGTAAATTGGTTAACCAATTGACACATTGCAAGTCTTGGACTTTGTCAAATTACTCTAAATGAAGATTGATTTTTACCTAATTATTGCCATTAAAAGTGGTGCAAGAGATCAAATTGTATGCAATTGAATCATTACCATGAAAATTACATGCAAGGAAAGGAGAAGAAAGAAAAGAAAAAATCAAAGTTGAACAAAAAGTGAAAGAAATTTTTCAAATTATAACGAAACATTTTTCGATACAAAGTCTTATTGAATTTTGATAATTTGGAGAAGAGAGAAAAAAGAGAAAAATTATTCAAACTTTTCCTTCTCCTGTTCATAATTTGCACCAAAGAATAATAATAATCATGATTACCATGAATAATCTTATTCATTTTTTTGCGTCTCTTCGTTTTTGCCTCTTTGTTCATTCACATCAACATTTATCCAATTTTTGCTTCACACTCTTTACATTTGCCTTTTCAATTGAACATCAACTGAAAACTGTGCCAAAACAAAAGCGAAACAATGAAACTTTTCTTCTTTTCCTGTTAATTTGATTCCAACAATTTGCAAATAATGTGCCAATTTTCATTCTGTTGCATGAAATGTTGAAAAGTATTCTTATTCCCTGTGAAAGTAAACATTTTGTCGTCCTTTTTACTCGTTATCTCGACTCTTTTTTAGGCCAACTTTCATTATCTTGCTCATTAAATAAACAAGCTGCAGTCAGGCAAAGGAGAGAGAAAACAAAAGAAGGAACAAAAAAGACTGAATAAGAGGAAAAAAGAAGAGAAAATTTGGCCAATTCCCTGAACTGGGAGGTTAAACTGGACATGATAATGTGGTCAAAGTTAAACTTGTTTCATTGTATTCAAGTGCACCTCTCGGCGAAAGATGTTAATTATCACTTTTCCCTGTAAATAACTTTAAACATTATTTTACAATTTTCAGCTCAACCAACTCGAAGTTGAATAAATCACATTTAAACATTAGCTTTCACCATCAACCATTGAAATGGTTTATGAATATTTATTTCATTCATCAATTCAAGAATTGAATTTTTTCTCCTGTTAATTTGCTCAAATTTTATACAAAATTTCACCAAGAAAAGAAGAAGGAAAAAAATTTCATTCAATTTTACCTTTTTTTGCATTTTTGCAACTTCACCATTTTTTACCTGAAAAATTCATCCTTTTTCATCTTTAGCTTTTGCCTGTTTGCACCTTTTCACTTTAGCGAAAAGAGCAACAAATGAGATTCAAAAGTTTGGACTGAAAAAATCGATAAACTTCAAGAACCAGATAACACTCAACAAGAGAGAAAAAATGAGTTTCCATTTTTCGACGAATCGAGCAGTTAATTGATTGTTAAATTAACTTGCAGTCGTGTCCATTAACTGAGATATACTTTTACATGAACATTCATTATGATTTTTGTTTTTCCTTCTCGAGATATTTTAACAAGTGCTGGTGACATTGATAAAAGCATGATAATATTAGAGAAAAATATCACTTTTTTTCATTCCATTTGCCTTTTCATTATCATTTTTTGTTCTGGTGAGATTGAATGGTTGTATGAGAGGAAAAATGTCTGTCAAATGGACCAACAAATGTTGAGCAGAAACACTTTGATCATTAATTGAATCATATAAATACAGGAACAAATGAGATCAAGATATTGGAATAGGAAATGAAAAGGAAAATGTTGAAAGGCTAATTAACTTGAATACTTATATTTAAATCTAGTTTGACATTTGGCTATTCAAATGACTTTACGTATTAATATTAATAATTATGGCAACTCAATGATTACTTGAACAGGAAGAAAAACAATTAACTTGGCATTTTAATGATTTCATGTAAACTGGAAAATTGCTTTAAAGGTTAACAATTAAACTAGATTGTTTCATTAATGAGTTTACTTTAAGCTTTAAATTTTTCACTCAATTCTTGAAATGACATTTTGCCATTTCATGGAAAAACACAATTTCCGATTCATTTTTGTGATCGATTTTTTCACTTCTTTGACAGTCGATTGCAATGAAAATTAATGATTCAATGTTCAATTAAATGTTGATTTTAGATTGCTTTTTACGAAAAGAAGAAGGAAAACTTTTTCTTCTCTCTATTCATTTTCATTCAATTATTCAATATTTTTCCATTCCTCATGAGGTTATTATTAAACTCTTTTCTTCTTCTTCTCCTTTTTTACTTAACCTTCCCTGTTTATCAGTTTAACATGATTAGGTTTTGCAAGTTGGTAAAAGAGTAGAGTTTAAATGTATTCAATTTAATGTATCATTTCAAGATTTATAAAGGTTAACACAAATGAAACATTATTCACTTTAAATGAAAATTCATGACGATAAATCAATAGATTTCATTTAACCAATTCATCAATCATCGGGTCAAGTATCTAGCTTTTTTTACTGGTTGATGTATTAAAATTTTATGGCTTGTTAAGCAACCTTTTCAATCAACTATTGACGAGCTTTGCTTCACTCTTTTGGCTTGTAGTTGGAGGATAATAAATGTCTTGGTTAAATGTTGTTTAAACAGCTATGAAAATGTTTATTAGGATCAAATCAACTTTAATCATCAAAGTAAAACCTTGTAGTCACCTTTACAATCAATATGGCAGTTGTTTTAAGTCGCAACAATTTCTGCCTCCAAATGATGCAAAATAATCCGATATTGCTTATCAAACTTTTGGCTAGTTAGTCAACCTTCAATTGGATCGTTGATTCATGGGAAAGCTTTTGACTAACTTGGTTGCCAAAAAGGCTCAAATAGGGTCAACTTTTGTCATTATTGTTGATCAATTTTACTATTTTTAGCATTATCAGTCAACACTATGATAATGCAAAATAATCCAATGACGCTCATTTAATTCAGATATTACACTAAGTTGTTTAAGCTAAGTGACTTTGTGAATCAATTTGATTAAATGGATCTAACCTCATCTTTCATAATTTGTAAAATGGAATGTTCATCAGGATCAACCAATTTTACAGTGTAATAAAGTGGCTTAAGTTTTTTACATTATCACATCAAAGGTTCGAATTTATAGTTTCAGAAGTCACTTTTTGGCCATTTTACATGTGATGCTTCAATAGCAATTCAGAAATTGGAGAAAGGAGCAGAAGCTCTGAAATCTAAAAGATTTTGAAGGGACTTGTTTCACCAGAAAAGAGTAATTTTTTAGATACTGATGCTAGCCAAGCTGAATCGGCTGACAAGGGAACCACGCGAAGTGGTACTCACCGATTTTTATGTTCTATAGCTCATTCGAAAGAGCTCGTCGAGTAGATAAAAAGTGTTAATTATTAGCTGCCCATACGCACTTTTGAAAAAGTTACAGGGCTTCCTATCGAAAATTTAATGCCGCGAATGATTACATAAAACGCTGAAAAAATATTCGATTTTGATTTTTTCAATCAAA